TGACAGAATTTATTACAATATTATGCTTTTGTTTCTGTAAAAGCTATTTTTTTATGTCTTGTCTTGGTGGTAATAAACTATTGTTCTTAAATCCTTTTGTTCTTAAATCATTTAGTTGTTCATCTATGGCAAAGTCTAGGTCTTGTTTTCCAGGAAGCGAGCTCACAGCTTCATATGAAGATTAGACAATCCTAAATATAGTTGAATGCCATTAATAAATTGCGACTTATTAGCATTATCCTGAAGACTGTTTTAGACAGACTGTGATACAAAGCAAGTGACTTTCCACATAAAATATGCTGCAGAGAAAGCATAGAGTGTTAGCTTTCTTTAAATATATTATTTATTTCTTACAAGAAAGTGAGAAATTTAGTTCCTTTTTTTGTTTTGTTTTGTTTTGGTTTTGTTTTTTTGTTTAGCTCCTTCCCTTTTTTGAAGGAAGTGTAGAGGTTTTTTGTTACCCAGAAATGCAAAGTGTGATGAAACGAAGTTCACCAGAATAGCAGAGGTTCCTTAGTTGATACATCTGAGACTAAAGAAGCGAATGTAGCAGTCGGTGGTAGTGCCAGACCACTTCCAGTGCCTGTGAAATCGGTCAGTATGTTTGGTAGACATGATTATGCTAGAACATTGCAACTCACTGCCTTTAGGTTAGTGACCTTTTATTTGAAATTAGGAAGTGAGAACATAGGGATTTCCTTTGCTGCATGAATAAATAAGAATTCAGAATATATGCTAAAAAGTCAGTATGCGTGTGCACTGAGAAATATCTAGCATGTTTGCTCTTTAGGGTAGCAGACATTAGCCTTACTGAATGGCACCTCAAATGCTCTCTCATTCCCCTTCCTCAATGGAAAAGAGGGAGAAAATGCAACAGAAAAGACTCAGAGATTGAGATAAGGACAGCGACATCACTCACCAATTATTGTCATGGGCAAAACAGACTCAGTGTTGGGAAACTAATAAATTTTATTTATCAGTAGCAGTGAAAAGCAAACCGAAAACACCTTCCCTACCCATCCACCATCTGCTACCTCCTCCCCATAAGCAGAACAAGGGAATGGAGACTGTGGTCAGTCCCTAACACTGTCTCTGCTGCTTCTTCATGGTCGCTCTCTGCCCCTGCTCCCCATGGGGTCCCTCCCATGGGATACCGTCCTTCCCAAACTGATCCCACATGGGCTGCCCACAGGCAGCAGCTCTCCAAGCACTGCTCCCACATAGCTCTGTACCACGGGGTCCATCCCCCAGGAGCAAACTGCTCCAGCACGGGTCTACCACAGGTGGGTGGCAGCTCCCCCCAGACTCCCTGCTCCTGCATGGGCTCCTCTCCACGGGCTGCAGCTCCGGCCCGGGGCCTGCTCCTGCGGGGGCTCTCCATGGGCCGCAGCCTCCTCCAGGCCACATCCACCTGCTCCACCGGGGGCTTCTCCACCCATGGGGGGGCTGCAGCGTGGAGATCTGCTCCATGTGGGACCCATGGGCTGCAGGGGGACAGCCTGCTCCACCAGGGGCCTCTCCCTGCACAGGCTGCAGGGGAACTGCTGCTGCCTGCCTGGAGCACCTCCTGCAGTTAACAGTGTAAAGGGGAGACCCGAGTTCAGTCTCAGTCAGGTAGTTCAGACCTCTCATGCAGCAAAAGGACTGACTTCAGCAAGGCATGGGCTACCCCAGGAGGCATTGTAATGCTTCAGTTTAAATGGCTGTTCTCACACCGTGATCCCACAAATAAGTGCTTCAAGAGATCAATCTTCAGAGCCAGAAGCCTGTAAGGAAGAGTTGGGTGATAGCCAGGGAAGAAGCCTGAATGTACTAGGGGAGGGAGAGTCCTCGGTTACAATCTGGACTGAATAAGGGCCCTTTTCACTGCAGACAGCCTATGCAGATAGCAGCTGCCTGTTTGCTGTTTAAAAGGTTAAAATTAGCAACTTTAGGGCTGATTCCATGATACTAATGGCTGTCTGGCCTTGCAGGTTGGCATTTCATTTCAGAAACCTGAAATAACATTTTTAGGACCTGAGGGAATGACTTGAAGCTGTGACAGGCCTGGTTCAGGCTGGGTGTTAGGAAAAGGACCTGCACCCGGAGGATGGTTGGGCACTGGGGCAGGTTCCTCAGGGCGGTGGTCATGGCACCGAGTCTGCCAGAATTCAAGAAGCATTTGGACAACTCTCTCAGACACATGGTCTGATTTTATTTGTTTATTTTTTTTTGGTGTGGTCCTTCAGGAACCCAGGAGTTGGACTCAGTGATCCTTGTGGGTCCCTTCCAACTCAGATACTCCATTCTTCTATGATTATATGAACCTGATTTGGCTTAAAATACCTGACAAGAAGAGTGTTTGTTTTCCAACTGAGTCAGCTAACTGCATGGCTACCTGAATAACAGTGCAGGAAAATGTATTACAGCTTGGTGGCAGCCTGACCTTAAAATATGTATCTATACTTCCATGAAAGTGTGCTTCTTGAATCTTGGACCCACAGCTCAGGCATCTATGTGGATTTTGCATCAAGTCTCAGTAAAACTACAGTAAAACTTAACAGATTTGTGTGAGTCTTGCCTTACTGTTGTCACGGGATGAAAGTGTTGCACATTGTGTTTAATCTTGTTATGGTTGACAGGCTTCAAGGATTGTTGGTTAGACATTTATTTACTTAACCTGCAAAATCAAGAAAGAGCCTTCATTCTTGTAGGCAAATTAAAGGATTCATCTACATTTTAATTGTAACTGCCTGCATGGGCTTACTGTTAGTGTGTTTCACACCTGTTTTCAGAGAGAATATGGCTGTAGAGTTCTAACAATTGTATAAAAAATAAAGAATAGAAAATAAAATGGGTTTGGAAGGTTGAAGTGGTTTTAGTATTTTCAGAAACAGCTTGAATTTTGCAAATTATCACCATAAACTGATTTTAGAGCTTACAGACTAACAAAAACGTTCTTGATGGATGAATGTATGTCGGTATTTTGCATTTATCTTATGGAAGACATGGGTATATACCATAAGAAAAGTATGATTGACTCTAAGGGGTTAGATCATCAGGAGTTAAAACACCTGCATTTTTGTATGCCATTAAAAATGAGATGCAGTACTTGCTTAGCTTTGGGTTCTTGAATTTAAAGGTGTTTTTTTTTGTTTGTTTGTTTGTTTGTTTGTTTTAAGTTACCACTTTTGTTTGTTTGTTTGTTTTCCTGAGACCTGGTGATTTACAGGTTTTGTTCTGTTTTGTTTTGTTTTTTAATGAAGACTTTTCTATGGAATTCCCTTAGAGCTGCTAAGGTATGTAGTTCAGTGACAGCGCTGTGAATGTTTTTATCTTTAAGGTCTCTGTGTTCATTCTGTTTACTCTCCTGGAGCCCAAACATAGATTAAACTTAGCAGGGGAGAATTCCTGCTGAGCTCATTTTGCTCCCTGGACACAGCAGTGTATGTTCTTTCTTCTCCTGCATTTCTCTTTGCAGTAGTAGGATCTCACTGCATGTGGCTTCAGTGGGGCAGACCTTGTGGTGTGGGAGCCCTTCTGTGCAAGAGGGCATGCATGGGGTATGTCCTGCTGCCAATATGCCTGTTGTTGTCCTTGATTTTTTATTTTATTTTTTTCAGATGGGACTTTGCAGTACATGAAACTTGAAGTTTGGGTATTGCTCAAAAGAAAGTGGTAAAAAGATATGTGGGAAGGAAAGTAACTGCCCTTTTTAACAGGTAGACCCATAGCCTTGATTTTGCTGTTTTTGTTGTTGTTTTATTTTATCTATTTATTCTGAATACCCTGATCTGCCTAGATTGGAAATCAGAGTTGCTTGGCTCCTTCACAGGTAGGCCAGCAGGAGTACTGGGTCACTGGTCACTGGACTATGGAGAAAAAACTGCTCCTTGCCTGTCTGTGGTGGTGACATCTCAGCTGCAGATGCTCTGACGCAAACTAAATGTGAAGACAAATCAAGGGCAAGGAATAGAATTAGGAATTCTGTTCCCAGCCGTATTTGCATTTTGAAAAATGATTTATTCAGGAAATGCTCTGATGCTGAGATGATTCAAGTGCTAACTACTAACTGCCTGCAAGAATAACGAGAGAAACTTTGGGTCCCTGTCGCAGTACTTCCAGCAGTGGCACTGGGAGCAGGTGTACAGCCACATTGACAGAAACTGCAAGGGCAGGACCACAGAAAGGAAACAGCAAGGGGGGCTTCCTGGAAACGTGTGCCTGTGCCCTGCAGAGCGGCATGGTACACAAGTGTCTAAACCTGCCTCAGAAGAGATACAGATTGCTAAGGCTCGGGTCTGTGTTCCTGCAGCTCTGCTCTGCTGCAACCTCAACTGAAACCTCAGCTTCAGTGGTTGGCAGTAGTGGTGCCCGGCTGAACGCTGCTTTCTGCCTGCTCCATAGGCATGGCTTCCAGGAGACTCTTCCCTTGGCAGCCACTATGGGCATGGCATGATTTTATTTGGAGCTTTGTGCTGTCTTTCCCAGCATTATGTTTCTCAGCACTGCGCAGGCTGGAGCTGAATGTGTTTTGTTCTGTGCAGAAAGAGTTAAGCTTTAGATCATGTTGCAGATAGGTGATTGCCAGGCATGGGGAGCAGGAAATAATGGTTTATTGATTGAAGCAGCAGTCAAAAACCCCATGCTCAGGGAAAAAAAAAATAAAACATAAAAAAATAAAAAAAAAGATTGAGGTGGTACATAGTCACATTTACACACACGTGAAGCTCTGTGTCCTGGCACAGGGTCCAGGATGCCCCCCATCCCTCCCACACTGCTCTGCTTTGTAAAAATAAGTGCGTAGTTTAAAACTCACTTTATTGCTTCTGAATGACGTGAAGGCTCCTTGTCAGCTCTCCTGGCTCCTCCATGAATTGAAGACAGTATTTCTGTATTTCTAAATCAGCCGTGGATGAAAACAATGTCTCTACGCATATTTTATTTTTATATATATATATATATATATATATATATTTATTTGTGTGTGTGTTTGTGTGCTTCCAGTAGTTTTCAAACAGGAAAGGAAAAAATCAACCCAAATGCTCTCGCAGTCTCCTGTGCGCTACTCGCTGGCAGGTGCTATAGACCAGTACTTGGGCAGGATCCAGGCGGCTGGGATTGTCAGAATAAAGAAGAGCAGCCTTAAAACAACCACAGAAATGCAGTACTCATCACAGGCAGGTCTGTCCCAGGCTGGATACCACTTGGAATCACCTGGAAAGAAAACAGATCACTGGGTTTTAGGTGTAACTGCACTGAGGGCAACAAATTGAAGCAGAAACATCTGTGGTACTTACTAATGACTTTGTCACGCTCTGGGTTTCCTGCAGAGAGAAAAGAAGTGAATGGAAGCAGGCTTAGACATTGTGAATAATTTGATCTAAACAAAAGAGAATTAACTATGAGCCTGACAATGGGCAGAGAAGAAATACAGCAATGGGAGCTGCATTTCTTACCAGAAACAAGAACCTGTTGACTTCAGGAGAGCCTTGCAGTGGCTCTTGGGGATTTGCTGCAGAGAGCTTGGTCGCATCTTACTGACTGCCCCCTGATAGTGGCTGGCATAGAGAGGACTCCTCCGGTACAATGATATCACAAGAGGGCATGTGTGGGGTACGTCCTGCTGCCAATATGCCTGATGTTGTCCTTACTGTTTATTTTATTTATTTATTTATTTATTTTTCCCAGTACTTATATTTGAGAAACGCTGTCTGTAGCTGATGTCAAACTATCCCATCCATCAGGAATCCCCTCTCCTTCTTGTGATGCTGGTGTTTTAACACCTTTAAGATCCCTAAGCATCACTGCTATCGTGGCTTCTGATTGCACTTTTTTTTTTCATACTGTGTTTGGGACAACAATATGCCTTCTGCCAGAGTCTTCTGTGTGCTCTTTCTGCGTGTGCTTGTGGAGGAGGGTGGGTTTTCTACTTACGACACAGGTTCTTGGCACACTGATCGCCCTCGCATTTGCTGCATGCTGCTCCCGTCTCGTAGGGGTGCCAGCCATAATTCCCCCTGTGAAGGAAAGTAACACTGCTCTGAACCTGCCATTAGCAGCATGCCCATTCCTCCTGCTCATTTGCTTTTCAGCTTGGGTTTTGCTTCACCTGCGTTGATGGGGAAGTTTTTCGGGCTGCCCTCCCTGACCACCCCACTCCCCCCTAGCCCTAGATGTACCCAAATTCCCTGCAGATGTGGCCAGGCTGCCAGCACCCATGGCAGGGCCTTCGTGCTCTGGCAGTGACCTTCATGCTCTGACCCAGCAGGGCTGTGCAGCTCAGGACCTAGGCAGGATCCTGCCCTCACATGCTGGGAGCTGAGGCTCGGCAGGCATTTGCAGAGCCTCCATGTCCCTGTGTGCCCAGGGCAGGATGTGCAGGATGCAGGCAGTGCTGGATGTGACACGGCCCCATTTCTTAGCAGGCCTTAGCAGGCCCATTTCTTAGCCTGTTTGCAGTGTGCTCACCCAGCTCAAAAGCCATCTCTTATGGAAATTAGATGCTGGCATTAATTAGCTGGGAAAAGGTAGAAAGCATCCATCCCAGTTGCAGCCAATATGCATATGAAGGACCTCTGGATAAACTTTTGCCTCGAGCAGCCCCAGCTTTGTGGGGGTAAAGTCCGATAAAGCTCAGGCTGCAGCTGCAAGCGCTGCACACTTTTACCCAAACCATTGACCTGAAAGTTTAATTCTGCAGGCAAATGTGTAAATATTTTTAGACTCCGGGTTTGTACCTTGGCAACTGTCTGGGGCCACCTTGGCACTGAGGAGCAAGGGAACAGTTTTCCGGTGATCGCTTAAGTAGGCTCATTTCAGTATCTTACATTTTACTCTTTCTACCAGTGCCACTGCTTTTTGGCTACATCACATAGCCCCTGTTTAGTGAAAAACGGCTGCTTGGATAGAGGTGTGCATCTGTCTCTGTTTTGGGGACCCATAAACACGTGAAAAATGGGCTGCACATTGTGTGAAGGAAGCTGTACATTGTGGGAAGGAAGAAGGGGCAGGACCCAACCCCTGTGAAATATTTGTCATGGAAAAGCTTACGCCGGCCCGTAGTTGCAGATGAAGAGTGCTGCATTTTTTCCTGAGAAGTACTGCACCGTGGGACAGAAGTGGACAGCACAGCCAACCTTGTAGCTTCGAGCCCAAACAATCTGAAAAGACAAACATGAACGCCAGTGAATGAACATCTGCTTTAACATCTAAAGCATGAGGGAAAAGCCCTGCCCTCCTCTGTGTCACACAACAAGTGGGCTGAGGACTGCTCCTTGGGCACACTTTGCAGAGGAGAGCAGTAGTTTATCTCCCTGGAAAGTATTGAACAGCCTCACATCAAAATCCAGCCCCTAGAGGCCTGTTTGTGAGCAGCCCTGCTCTCTGATAACCAAGGTTAACAATTGCAGGGTTGCGAGGCAGTGGCCCTCCCGTTCCTCTCTTTGTCCTTTCTCCTTGGGAATACTGATTAGGAAAAAAAAGGTTGGGAAAAGTGATGCTTGCAGGAGCTGCAGCCATCTCCGTACGTGTTGGCAGCACTCAGCTGTAGCAGAAGTGCCCCATGTGTCCCAGCCTGATGTGGGGGCATTTCATCAGCCTTTGGCACAGCTCGTAGTGCCACACAGAGGCTGTCTGACAGAGGGGGGACCTCATCCCACCCCACACTGCAGCCCACTGCCACTGCCGCTTCCTGATTTTAGGCTACTGCTTGGCTAAACCTGGTCATTTGATGGCTGTCCAGTTTTCTTCCTGGAAACAAAACACAACTGGGGGATGTTAAAAAAAAAAAAAAGGACTCTTTTCCTTTACAAAGTGGGGATGTAAGAACATTTCATGCATACAGGTACAAAAAATCACTACCGCTCTTGGTTTGTTGAATCTTGGACAGAAATCTGTTGGGACACAGAAATTCCTGTGTCCCAGTAGCAAGGCTGGTTCTTGGTTCAGGTGGAGAAGTTCCATGCCTACCTGTGTGTAATGGCCACACACTCTTCTACAACTATTGGTGGTATAATTGTAGTCTTTGACCTCATTGTACCAGGAGGTGATGGCTTCTTTCACAGAAAATATCGAGAACGAGCCAGTCCAGATGTTTTCTCCAACAGAGGCAAACCTGGGGTGAGTCTGCCCTGGCTCTCTGAGGTACATGTTATGTTTAAACTGGCATCTCTTCGCCCAAGCTTTCGCAGTCTTCGCCAAATCTGGATCCCAAGTCTGCAAGATAAAGACAAGAGAAAATGGCTTGGGTACTTAAGCAATGCGGTAATGCGGAGCAGCTTCTGGAGCAGCTGGGACTCAGAAGTGTCTATGCCATGGGCTAGTCTGGATTTTGCTTCTGCTGAGACAATTCTGCATGGTAAATTGGCTTGTAGGTTTGTGTCTCCTGGGAGTTTTGTCACTTGTTAAATGTAGGGAAGATCTTGGGGTGGTGGGCAATCACAGTTGATGCTTCAAATGTTAGCGCTGAATTTGTATTTGTGGAGTCACTCATGCACTTGCTATTCAATCCTACAGAGAGCTGTTATTTAAACCATTGGATTATATAAATATCTTTGGTTTGCATTGGAGGTATTGCCAGATTCCTCTGGGTTTTCTTGTGCACACAACCTGATTAAGCAAACACAGTGCTGTACCACCTCTGTGTGCCTGTAGCCTTTTTTTTTGTGATGAAAATTCCTTATTTGTCCTTCTGTGTATGGATTAAAATCTCTCAGTTACTTCTGCAAATTACAGAACCACTAGAGAAGCTGTTTTGAATGTATCATTAATGGTGACAGAGGAAAAGGACTTGGAGGTTCTTAGACTTTTTGTCTGTTTTACATAATATAGCTTTTTGGTACTGATGATATATATGTACTGAAATAATATGTGTAAAGTTTATGCTCTTAGTAAGTAATTAAAATTTGTAAGATCACATCAAAACAGATCTGCAGAGATTTGCCATTATTTTCTAACCCATGTCTTCCATTTCTCCCTGTGGCAAGCATTTGGGGTGGGAGTTTTCCTACAAAACTAACACACAAGTAATTTGCCTAGAAACACAGTATCTGGAATATGAAAGGTAAGGTTGGGGGCAGACACCGGCCAGCTGCCTGGTCCATGAGGAGACTGGTTTGTGAGACTTACAGAAAGATTTTATGCTGCTGGATAACTAGGCAATAAAACAGCAGGTCAAATTCAGTATACAAAAATACAAGTAAAGGCACATGAGGAGGAAAAATAATGTTGACTTAGTATTCATGACAGATTTGGAGCTGACTCTTACTGCTTGTAAATCTATGCTTAGCAGTAGGATAAAAGGCAACTAAAGTATTAGATATTCCTTGAGAGGGACTGAAGAATGAACCCAAATATATAAGTTCACCACTGAAGAAGTCCTGTTAAATACTGTGTGTAGTGCCTCATCTTAAAAACGGACACTAGAACTGGAAAGGGCACAGAGAATATGGGGGATTGTCAAATACTATGGATGCTCTGTAGCTTTCTGCGGGGACAGCTGAATGTCTTGTGAAGTATACAAATAAGCAATGATTACTTGCTCTTTGCAGCACAAGGATCAGAGACTATCAAAGGAAGCTAGCAATTAGCAAGACCAAATCAAATGCAAGGAGATTTTTACATATCATGTAGTTAAGACTGCAATTTTGCTACAAGATATTAAGGGTGATAGAAGCTTGCATAGGCTGAAAAAAAGTCACGTAAGAAAAACCCATCACAAGCCTTTAAATAAAATGTAGCACCTCTCATTCAAGAGTTTCTGTATATTTGTCCTTCCAGGACTGCACGATCTTTGGTCTGAGCAGCTAAATTTATTCCTGTTTTCTAGCATTCTAAAGCAAACTTTTTTTATTATTATTATTTTTTTTTTAACAAAATGCCAAAAAATTAACATTTTGAGTAGTCTGACTTTTACATCGTTATCTGAACTTCCTTTCACAGAAATTACATCAGGCTGCAGTTGTGCATTTAACTTCTTTTTCAGCTAAGCGCCACTGCTGGAGGGTTCAAAGTAATGACGTAAACTGACTGGGTTTGCCTCCCCCAGCTCTCTCTCTACCTATTCCTTACATACTCCATTGAGCAAGCTGAGACCTATCCACGGCCTGCTCTGATATCCATTATGTTTATGGGAAGATCTCTTTTCCAGCCCAGCTACTGGTATCCCTACTCTCCAAACAGCACAGCAAAGGAAGATGAGGTGTCTATAGGGGTGTCTAAAGGGGCAACCCCCTTTCTTCAATATGGATTCTAGACTGGAAGGCACAAGGTGAGGTGCTAGATTTTCAATAAGCCACGTTGCCTTTCAGGAGCTTTCTAATGCCAAGCAGCTTCCCTGTATGAAAGCTGGACTAACATAAAAGGAAGATTACTGTCCCTCTTTGAAAAAGATAAATGCAACGCTGAGAACTGAACATTACGTATATTTTTTGTAACACAGTCCTTTGCTATGGCTCAAGTTTAGAGCTGCAACCTGTCCCCAGACAATGAATCCTCTTCCAATTAATAAGACAGAACAGTACCGTGAAAATTAATTGCTTTTTTATTTCCTACTAAGAACTATCAAATATACATGGTCTGTTCTGAAAGTAGTAGGACTCATTTTTATTTTTAAATAATTATTCATGAGAATAGAAGAAACGATTAGAATTTTTCAAGGTAGCACCCTTCCACATCTACACACTGCTGCCAATGATTTTTCCAGTTTTCATACTCCTCCAGGAACGCCTGGACTGGAATGCTGTTTAGCTCCCTCTTCATGGCCTCTTGAAGCGCTTTTACTGATGCGTGATGCTTCCCCTTGAGCATCGATTTTATTATCGGGAATAGGAAAAAGTCTGGCAGGGCCAAGTCGGGGCTGTAGGGGGGCTGAGGCAGCGTTGCCACCTTGTGCTGGGCAAGATACTCCACTACGCGGAACGCTGTGTGGCTCGGCGCGTTGTCATGGTGCAGCCGCCAATTGTTGACGATGGCTGGGCGGACACGAGCAATGCGTTTTCGCAGTCTTCTGAAGACTTCCACATAAATTTTTCACTCACGACACGTTTTCATTGGTCTTGCTGGTTGAAGGGCGTCTGGAGCGGTCGTCGTTTTCCACTCTTTCCCTACCTTCTCAGAACAGCTTGTGCCACTCAGAAACACCCGATCTACCCATGGCAGCAACACCATAGGCCTCCTTAATCATGTTGTGAGTCTCTTTGCCCGTTTTACCAAGTTTTACACAAAATTTGATTGCGTATCGCTGCTCCAGTAAACGCTCCATGATTCTCTGTGATGAGGCGTTTCGAAAGGTGTTCACAGGACAAGCGACCTCCTCTCTTCAACGGCCGACAGCCGACTGCCGATTTTTCCCAGTGTTCCCAATATCCACCTCCACCGATCAGGCGCGGGCAGACCGCCTCTCGTCCGCCCGTTCGCCCAGGAAAAAGCCAGTCCTACTACTTTCAGAACAGACCATGTTCCAAAATGTACCAAAATCATTGACAGAAACAGAAAGGAAAGCACAGAGCAACTGGAGAGTAAGGTGGGCTAACTCAGCAGCACCATCTATGTTAATTTTCAAACCAATCACAAACGCCTCCTTACCATGCGAAACATATTGCTGGCTGGTGGATTCGTTTTGGATCGAAAGTTGTTGTGAGCGCTCACACAGTCTTCAATGAACTTTGCATCTTCAATGTCAGGCAAAGGGTATTGTGCATACGCACGACAGCAGGCAAAGAGATCCAGTAAGAGCACTGCAGAAATAAAAGACGTGATTTTCATAATTCTTCAATGTATTTTTTCTTAAGATTTAAAAGAAATATCCCTTAGGTGGAGATAATGCTGCTAAGCAGTTTCTCTGTAGTCCTCTGGGTGTGGAAGCTCTTCAAAGTCAGAGCACCAGGAAGTGGAATTGCTTCACAAGGTACAGAACCATCTGACATCACCGCTGGCTGTCTGAGGGTAAGCTGAGGAACACGCATCTGCCACGCATATTGCCCAGAGGTACTGCCACACTTAAATGTCTGCCTCTTCTTTGAATGCCTTCCATCCTGGTTGAATGCCAAGCCATTCTGTGGCTGCAGGTCTTATCTGAAGAGGTGCTGTGCAGCAACTTTGCTAAAACCTCCGTCAACCATAAAGATTGTAGCTATGACACAATACAGATCTGCTGTTCAGGTGCTTTTCCTACTGTGCAGCTTAGTTGTGCCAAGTCAACTGCAATTATTTTGTAGAATCTTTCTTCCATTTCAGAGTTACTCTAGGAATAAATGGAATTAGCGAAACTGCATATATTAAATTTTGTGTCCCCACCAGGACAAAAAAACAAACAAACAAACAATAAAAATTGTTCCTAAGCAGCAGCTTGCTGTGGAACCTTCTAAGCTTCTAATTTGGTGTTTAGCAAAAGTATGACATTGAAATCCCAAGCATAAATGAGGGTGTTGATTCTCACCTTCACTAGCCACCTGTTTATCTAGGAGGCTGAAATTCTTGGAAGAGTTTTCTGTGCTCATGTGAGGAGAGAAGCTGTAGGATTACCACTCCTGAGGTAAAATTCCAAGCCTGATCCCTTTCTGGGGCAGTAGGATGGGCAGTGCTGGGATTTGTATTCTCACTAGCTGTTCTACAAGCTGGTTGGAGCTGAATGTGTTTTGTTTTGTGCAGAGAGAGTCAAACCTTAGATCATGTTGCAGATACATGATTGCCATGCATGGGGAGCAGGAAATAATTACAGAATCACAGAATTTTCTAGGTTGGAAGAGACCTCAAGATCATCGAGTCCAACCTCTAACCTAACGCTAACAGTCCCCACTAAACCATATCCCTAAGCTCTACATCTAAACGTCTTTTAAAGACTTCCAGGGATGGTGACTCCACCACCTCCCTGGGCAGCCCGTTCCAGTGCCTAACAACCCTTTCAGTAAAGAAGTTCTTCCTAAGATCTAACCTAAAACTCCCCTGGCGCAACTTAAGCCCATTCCCCCTCGTCCTGTCACCAGGCACGTGGGAGAACAGGCCAACCCCCACCTCACTACAGCCTCCTTTAAGGTATCTGTAGAGAGCAATAAGGTCGCCCCTGAGCCTCCTCTTCTCCAGGCTGAACAAGCCCAGCTCCCTCAGCCGCTCCTCGTAGGACTTGTTCTCCAGGCCCCTCACCAGCTTCGTCGCCCTTCTCTGGACCCGCTCAAGCACCTCGATGTCCTTCTTGTAGCGAGGGGCCCAAAACTGAACACAGTACTCGAGGTGCGGCCTCACCAGAGCCGAGTACAGGGGGACGATCACCTCCCTAGCCCTGCTGGCCACACGGTTTCTTATACAAGCCAGGATGCCGTTGGCCTTCTTGGCCACCTGAGCACACTGCTGGCTCATATTCAGCCGACTGTCCACCATCACTCCCAGGTCCTTCTCTGCCTGGCAGCTCTCTGACCACTCATCTCCCAGCCTGTAGCTCTGCTTGGGGTTATTGCGCCCCAGGTGCAGGACCCGGCACTTGGCCTTGTTGAACTTCATGCAGTTGACCTCAGCCCATCGGTGCAGCCTATCCAGATCCTCCTGCAGAGCCTTCCTACCCTCGAGCAGATCGACACACGCACCTAACTTGGTGTCATCTGCAAACTTACTGAGGGTGCACTCAATGCCCTCGTCCAGATCATTGATGAAGATATTAAAGAGGACTGGCCCCAGCACTGAGCCCTGGGGGACGCCACTAGTGACTGGCCTCCAACTGGACTTGACTCCATTTACCACGACTCTTTGGGCCCGGCTATCCAGCCAGTTTCTAACCCAACAAAGCGTGTGCCAGTCCAAGCCAAGAGCAGCCAGTTTCTTGAGGAGAATGCTGTGGGAGACGGTGTCAAAAGCCTTGCTGAAGTCAAGGTAGACCACATCCACAGCCTTTCCCTCGTCCACCCAGAACGTCAGTTGGTCATAGAAGGAGATCAGGTTCGTCAAGCAGGACCTGCCTTTCATAAACCCATGCTGACTGGGCCTGATCGTCTGCTTGCCCTGCAAGTGCTGCATGATGACTCCCAAGAGGATCTGCTCCATGAGCTTCCCTGGTACTGAGGTCAAACTGACAGGCCTGTAGTTTCCCGGGTCTGCCCTCCGGTCCTTCTTGTAGATGGGCGTCACATTTGCTAGCTGCCAGTCAGCTGGGACCTCCCCCAATAGCCAGGACTGCTGATAAATGATGGATAGGGGCCTGGCCAGCTCCTCTGCCAGTTCTCTCAGTACCCTTGGGTGGATCCCATCCGGCCCCATTGATTTGTGCACATCCAAGTGCCGTAGCAGGTCACCAACCATTTCTTCATGGATGGTGAGGGCCACATCCTGCTCCCCATCCCCTTCCACCAGCTCAGGGTACTGGGTATCCAGAGAACAACCAGTATTGCCGCTAAAGACTGAGGCAAAGAAGGCATTAAGCACCTCTGCCTTTTCCTCATCTCTTGTAACTAAGTTTCCTCCTGCATCCAGTAAAGGATGGAGATTCTCCTTAGTCCTCCTTTTTGTGTTGATGTATTTATAAAAATGTTTTTTGTTATCTTTAACGGCAGTAGCCAGATTGAGCTCCAGATGAGCTTTGGCCTTCCTAATTTTGTCCCTGCACAGCCTCGCTACATCCTTGTAGTCCTCCCTAGTGGCCTGCCCACTTTTCCAAAGATTATAAACCCTCTTTTTTCTCCTAAGCTCAAGCCATAGTTCTCTGTTGAGCCAGGCCGGTCTTCTTCCCCGCTGGCTCATCTTTGGGCACATGGGGACAGACCACTCCTGCGCCATTAGAATTTCCCTCTTGAAGAGCGCCCAGCCTTCCTGGACCCCTCTGCCCTTCAGAACTGCCTTCCAAGGAACTCCACCAACCAGTGTCCTGAGCAGCCCAAAGTCAGCCCTCCGAAAGTCCAATACAGCGGTTTTACTGGTCCCCTTCCTGGCTTTGCCAAGAATAGTGAACTCCACCATTTCGTGGTCACTCTGCCCAAGACAGCTCCCAACAATCACATCCTCCGGCAGTCCTTCTCTGTTTGTGAAGAGAAGGTCTAGCAGGGCACCACCCCCAGTATGTTCACTAACCAGCTGTGTCAGGAAGCTATCTTCCACGCTCTCCAGAAACCTCCTAGACTGCTTCCTCTGGGCTGTGTTGTGCTTCCAGGATATGTCAGGGAAGTTGAAGTCCCCCACGAGTACAAGCGCTGATGATTTTGCAACTTCTGTCAGCTGCCTGCAGAACTCCATCCGTCTCCTCATCCTGGTTCGGCGGTCTATAGCAGACCCCGACCAGGACGCTAGCCTTTTTGTCCCAGCCGATCCTAACCCAAAGGGACTCGACCTTGTCATTCCTAGCCTCGAGTTCTACAACCTCGAAAGACTCTCTAATATAGAGAGCCACACCACCACCCCTTCTGTGCTGCCTGTCCCTTCTGAAGAGCTTATAGCCAGGCATTGCATCACTCCAGTCATGAGACTGGTCCCACCACGTCTCCGTGATGGCAACCAAGTCGTAGCCTGCCTGCTGCACGATGGCTTCCAGCTCCTCCTGTTTGTTACCCATGCTGCGTGCATTGGTGTAGATGCACTTCAGCTGGGCCATTGCCTTATCCCCTGGCCTTGCCATTGTTCCCCCTGGCACAGCCCCAACAGTCCTTGCCTCAGCCCCATCCCCCTTCTTACCTAGTTTAAAGCCCTCAAATGGTTTGTTAATTATTTATTAATGGTTTATTGATTGAAGCAGCAGTCAAAAACCCCATGCTCAGGGAAAAAATAAAATAAAAAAATAAATAAAAAAATAAAAGATTGAGGTTGTAAATAATCACATTTACACACACGTGAAGCTCTGTGTCCTGGCACAGGGTCCTAAGCAAAGAGAAATACCAGCGGCCCCAGAGCACTGTGAGATGGGGCAACACACTGCCTGCCACTGGATGAAGTGAGCATGGTAGGTCCAAAAATTCTTAGAGAAAAAGGTTTAAATCGAAAAAAAAATCTCTCCAGTCTACTCAACACCATGCTGCTGCATCTTGCTGGAGGAGGGTTCACAGAGTGTGATAGGCATGAGAGATGTTTGCTCTGCCCCCTCCTTGGCCACCCTGCAGCCCTCCTCGGGCAGGTGGCGTGGGCAGCTGCCCCATGTCCCCCATCCCTCCCACACTGCTCTGCTTTGTAAAAATAAGTGTGTAGTTTAAAACCAGTTATTGCTTCTGAACGATGTGAAGGCTCCTTGTCAGCTCTCCTGGCTCCTCCATGAATTGAAGACAGTATTTCTGTATTTCTAAATCAGCCGTGGATGAAAACAATGTCTCTACCCATATTTTATTTTTATTATTTTGTGTGTGTCTGTGCTTCTAGTAGTTTACAAACAGGAAAGGAAAAAATCAACCCAAATGCTCTCACAGTCTCCTGTGCGTTACTCGCTGGCAGGTGCTATAGACCAGTACTTGGGCAGGATCCAGGCGGCTGGGATTGTCAGAATAAAGAAGAGCAGCCTTAAAACAACCACAGAAATGCAGTACTCATCACAGGCAGGTCTGTCCCAGGCTGGATACCACTTGGAATCACCTGGAAAGAAAACAGATCACTGGGTTTTAGGTGTAACTGTGCTGAGGGCAACAAATTGAAGCAGAAACATCTGTGGTACTTACTAATGACTTTGTCACGCTCTGGGTTTCCTGGAGAGAGAAAAGAAGTGAATGGAAGCAGGCTTAGACATTGTGAATAATTTGATCTAACCAAAAGAGAATTAACTATGAGCCTGACAATGGGCAGAGAAGAAATACAGCAATGGGAGCTGCATTTCTTACCAGAAACAAGAACCAGTTGACTTCAGGAGAGCCTTGCAGTGGCTCTTGGGGATTTGCTGCAGAGAGCTTGGTCGCATCTTACTGACTGCCCCCTGATAGTGGCTGGCATAGAGAGGACTCTCCGGTACAATGATATCACAAGAGGGCATGTGTGGGGTACGTCCTGTTGCCAATATGCCTGATGTTGTCCTTACTGTATATTTTTTTAATTAATTAATTTATTTATTTTCCCCAGTACTTATATTTAAGAACCGCAATCTGTAGCTGATGTCAAACTATCCCATCCATCAGGAATCCCCTCTCCTTCTTGTGATGCTGGTGTTTTAACACCTTTAAGATCCCTAAGCATCACTGCTATCGTGGCTTCTGATTGCACTTTTTTTTTTCCTACTGTGTTTGGGACAACAGTATGCCTTCTGCCAGAGTCTTCTGTGTGCTCTTTCTGCGTGTGCTTGTGGAGGAGGGTGGGTTTTCTACTTACGACACAGGTTCTTGGCACACTGATCGCCCTTGCATTTGCTGCATGCTGCTCCCGTCTCGTAGGGGTGCCTGCCATAATTCCCCCTGTGAAGTAAAGTAACACTGCTCTGAACCTGCCATTAGCAGCATGCCAATTCCTCCTGCTCTTTTGCTTTTCAGCTTGGGTTTTGCTTCACCTGCGTTGATGGGGAAGAGTTTTTTGGGTTGCCCTCCCTGACCACCCCACTCCCCCCCAGCCCTAGATGTACCCAAATTCCCTGCAGATGTGGCCAGGCTGCCAGCACCCATGGCAGGGCCTTCGTGCTCTGGCAGTGACCTTCATGCTCTGACCCAGCAGGGCTGGGCAGCTCAGGACCTAGGCAGGATCCTGCCCTCACATGCTGGGAGCTGAGGCTCGGCAGGCATTTGCAGAGCCTCCATGTCCCTGTGTGCCCAGGGCAGGATGTGCAGGATGCAGGCAGTGCTGGATGTGACACGGCCCCATTTCTTAGCAGGCCTTAGCAGGCCCATTTCTTAGCCTGTTTGCAGTGTGCTCACCCAGCTCAAAAGCCATCTCCAATGGAAATTAGATGCTGGCATTAATTAGCTGGGAAAAGGTAGAAAGCATCCATCCCGGTTGCAGCCAATATGCATTTGAAGGACCTCTGGATAAACTTTTGCCTCGAGCAGCCCCAGCTTTGTGAATCCAAGTCCGATAAAGCTCAGGCTGCAGCTGCAAGCGCTGCACACTTTTACCCAAACCATTGACCTGAAAGTTTAATTCTGCAGGCAAATGTGTAAATATTTTTAGACTCTGGGTCTGTACCTTGGCAACTGTCTGGGGCCACCTTGGCACTGAGGAGCAAGGGAACAGTTTTCCAGTGATCGCTTAAGTAGGCTCATTTCAGTATCTTACATTTTACTCTTTCTACCAGTGCCACTGCTTTTTGGCTACATCACATAGCCCCTGTTTAGTGAAAAACGGCTGCTTGGATAGAGGTGTGGATCTGTCTCTGTTTTGGGGACCCATAAACACGTGAAAAATGGGCTGCACATTGTGTGAAGGAAGCTGTACATTGTGGGAAGGAAGAAGGGGCAGGACCCAACCCCTGTGAAATGTTTGTCATGGAAAAGCTTACGCCGGCCCGTAGTTGCAGATAAAGTGTGCTGCATTTTTTCCTGAGAAGTACTGCACCGTGGGACAGAAGTGGACAGCACAGCCAACCTTGTAGCTTCGAGCCCAAACAATCTGAAAAGACAAACATGAACGCCAGTGAATGAACATCTGCTTTAACATCTAAAGCATGAGGGAAAAGCCCTGCCCTCCTCTGTGTCACACAGCAAGTGGGCTGAGGAGTGCTCCTTGGGCACACTTTGCAGAGGAGAGCAGTAGTTTATCTCCCTGGAAAGTATTGAAGAGCCTCAGATCAAAATCCAACCCCTAGAGGCCTGTTTGTGAGCAGCCCTGCTCTCTGATAACCAAGGTTAACAATTGCAGGGTTGCAAGGCAGTGGCCCTCCCGTTCCTCTCTTTGTCCTTTCTCCTTGGGAATACTGGTTAGGAAAAAAAAGGTTGGGAAAAGTGATGCTTGCAGGAGCTGCAGCCATCTCCGTACGTGTTGGCAGCACTCAGCTGTAGCAGAAGTGCCCCACGTGTCCCAGCCTGATGTGGAGGCATTTCATCAGCCTTTGGCACAGCTCGTAGTGCCACACAGAGGCTGTCTGACAGAGGGGGGACCTCATCCCACCCCACACTGCAGCCCACTGCCACTGCCGCTTCCTGATTTTAGGCTACTGCTTGTTCCTGGAAACAAAATACAACTGGGGGATGTGAAAAAAAAAAAAAGGACTCTTTTCCTTTACAAAGTGGGGATGTAAGAACATTTCATGCATACAGGCACAAAAAATCACTACTGCACTTGGTTTGTTGAATCTTGGACAGAAGTCTAGAATTCCTGTGTCCCAGTGGCAGGGCTGGTTCTTGGTTCAGGTGGAGAAGTTCCATGCCTACCTGTGTGTAATGGCCGCACACTCTTCTACAACTATTGGCGGTATAACTGTAGTCTTTGACCTCATTGTACCAGGAGGTGATGGCTCCTTTCACAGAAAATATCGAGAGCGAGCCAGTCCAGATGTTTTCTCCAACAGAGGTAAACCTGGGGTGAGTCTGCCCTGGCTCTTTGAGGTATGTGTTATGTTTAAACTGGCATCTCTTCGCCCAAGCTTTCGCAGTCTTCGCCAAATCTGGATCCCAAGTCTGCAAGATAAAAACAAGAGAAAATGGCTTGGGTACTTAAGCAATGCGGTAATGCGGAGCAGCTTCTGGCGCAGCTGGGACTCAGAAGTGTCTATGCCATGGGCTAGTCTGGATTTTGCTTCTGCTGAGACAATTCTGCATGGTAAATTGGCTTGTAGGTTTGTGTCTCCTGGGAGTTTTGTCACTTGTTAAATGTAGGGAAGATCTTGGGGTGGTGGGCAATCACAGTTGATGCTTCAAATGTTAGCGCTGAATTTGTATTTGTGGAGTCACTCATGCGCTTGGTATTCAATCCTACAGAGAGCTGTTATTTAAACCATTGGATTATATAAATGTCTTTTGTTTGCGTCGGAGGTGTTGCCAGATTCCTCTGGGTTTTCTTGTGCACACAACCTGATTAAGCAAACACAGTGCTGTGCCACCTCTGTGTGCCTGTAGCTTTTTTTTTTTTTTTTTTTTTGTAATGAAAATTCCTTATTTGTCCTTCTATGTATGGATTAAAATCTCTCAGTTACTTCTGCAAATTACAGAAACACTAGAGAAGCTGTTTTGAATGTATCATTAATGGTGATAGAGGAAAAGGACTTGGAGGTTCTTAGATTTTTTGTCTGTTTTACATAATATAGCTTTTTGGTACTGATGATATATATGTACTGAAATAATATGTGTAAAGTTTATGCTCTTAGTAAGTAATTAAAATTTGTAAGATCACATCAAAACAGATCTGCAGAGATTTGCCATTATTTTCTAACCCATGTCTTCCATTTCTCCCTGTGGCAAGCATTTGGGGTGGGAGTTTTCCTACAAAACTAACACACAAGTAATTTGCCTAGAAACACAGTATCTGGAATATGAAAGGTAAGGTTGGGGGCAGAGGGTCTTAGTTGAAGTGAACAGCTGATAATTCCTTAGATGATAGCTTTTAAAGAGGATGAACAAAATCTGCTGTTGTTCACAGGTTATCTTCCACTCCTAGCATTTCTGCAAGTCAAGACAGAGGCTGAAGTTTACATTCTGGCAATGCTGTGAGCTCACAAGAATAAGACCACAATGAAAGCTGTGTGACAGTGATTGGTGGATCTTAGTGCTCTGAAGTCTAGTTTTTCAGATTCTGCTTAAGAGTCTGCACCCTTATTTTCTCCTTCATCCTTTAGCAGTGTTAATAATAACAGCTCAGTGTAAAGGTACTTTTCCTTTTTTGTACAAATGCTTCAGCTGGCTGAAAAAGCAATGGGCAGAGATTTATAGTCTGGAATGGTCTTTAGTTTAAGCGTAGTTTTAATCATAGTTTGCTTACAAAACCACATTTACCCAAAAGATTGCAATCAACTGCATGAGTAAAAAAGCACAGGAAAGGGAGGTTTGCCTATAAATATCACTGCTGTTTGGGAAAATAGTAATTGGAGGTGGGTGTTTTTCAGGAACCATTTTTCAGTTTTGGTTTTGTAACTCAGATGAGTTTTTCATTTATTTAGGGAAGGAAAACTGATTGTATGACTGGTGAAAAGTAATTCAGGAACATTCACTGTTGTGAAAGCCTTGATATAAGCAGTGAGGATCTTTCTGCTGGTTTGGAACAGACCTAGACAGTACTTTGGGGGTACTGTGAAGGGTGAATGGGAAGAAGGGTTCACATTTGTCTGGTTGAAAAAAAAAAAAAAAAAAAGTAGATCATTATTTTTAACAGCTGTTTTACTACTGTAGCTGTTGGGGCTTTGTCACTTGTACTTAAAGGAGTTTCTGTCTAGTATTTTCTTTAAAAAAAATATTTTTTTCTAAAAGGTGGAAATGCCTTGTGTTCATATTCTTCACTTTTACGTATCTAGGTGAACAGTTATCTACAGGAAACAGAAGTTTCTTTTTTCTCTTGTTATCTTGAAAACAAGTCATCTTCTTTTCCTCTTTTTTGAAGTGCTTTAGTTGGTTAAAAAATTAATATACATGTGGTTTTCAATACTTTTACTTTCATAAAAGATTTGATCATACATTTTACTGATTTCTCCATGTAAAATTATTCCTGTGAGAGGTCATACTCAAGACTGTTTTTGTTGGTGGTGAAGTTTTGGGTTTTTTTTTTTCAGTGCTTTAAATGAAAGCTACCATGATTTTACTTCTTCTTTTCTTTGTAATGACCCTTATTTGTTTATTCGCTCTTTTTTTTCCACAAATTTCAGATCTACTTTTCAAAAAGATAAAGCAATGTTCACTGGAAATCTGCGGTCAACACTGGAGAGGTTTCCTAATGTCCCACTAAAGAAATCTGAAATAAAAAACACAGCAGAAGAGAAACTAAATTGTTCCCTGTCAGCAGCTTGCTAGCTGCTTGCCTACACCCCCCTAACAGGCACTTGTTTTCTGGTGTTTGAGAGCTAGAAATGTAAATGGAGCTGGTTTTGAACTTTGTTTTAGGTGTTGCTAACTGTGAATGGGGTTACATCCTCTTCTGGTGGTGGCCAAGTGGGACGATGAGAGGGAAGCAAGAGGAAAGGCCAGCATTAGGGCAATCATTATGGACCTCTGCATGTTATCCCAGGAAGAAACCTTTAGCATTAAAGGTTTCAAGCATTACCCAACCAAAGCACAAAAGGTGGTGGCTGTTACAAGAGGCAGCTCCCAAGTTTCTGGGATTGAACAATGCCTCCCAGATCAGGCAGAGGTGAGCTTCACAACCCGTAAGCCAACCTTGTGCATGCATTTACAGCTTCCCAAGTGCCACAAACCATCTTAAACATGAGGTGGCTACTTGCAGAGGCTGGGCTATATTTTGAATCATGACAGATTATCTTTTGCATTGATGACTGCAGAGACAGGCACTGTGGTGCAGGACCTGATGCCTTCAGCCCCCACTGCTGCTGCACTTGTGGCATTTGTTTTGGCTTCCTCTGCAGCCCGGTGCCTAGGAACCACTGCTAATAGCTCTGCTGGCTCAGGCCATGAGAGATTTGCAGAGAAAGCTAAAGCAGAGCTCTTCAAAGCCTTTTGGCAATGTTCTCCGCCCTCGCCAACTCTAGTATGAAAGGATGTGCTGAGGTCTGCACATAAATCACACCCCAGGCTGCGATGCCTTGGAATGAGGAGGCTTTTCACAGCACCAGCTACAGCACCAGGTTGGGGGTTGAAATCTCGAGTTTCAGATAAAGAAACTGAGCCAGGCAAAACTATACACGTACCCAACCGTATAAAGCCATCTGATAATCAGAGCCTTATCTGCTGTAAAAAGGAATTGCTGCTATGACTCCAGGAGACCATTTCTTTCTTTTTTTTTTTCTTTTTCTTTTTTTTTAACATTTGATTACAGAAATCATCTTTAAGAACTGCAAAAACCACAATGATCAGTGCTGCCCGCTTGCATGTAAGCAGTGAAGATCCCCTTACCATGTAGAGCATGTCGCTGGCTGGTGGGCTCACTGCAGACCGGAATTTGTTATGCTCTGTCACACATTGCTCAATAAACTCGGCATCTCCAATATCAGGCAATGTCTGTGGTGTAGAGGAGCCAGCAGAAAGGCAGAAACGCAGTAAAGCCAGCACGCAAGTGAAAAATCTGCTCATCATGATTCTCAGCCTCTGGTCTTCCAGCTTTAAGAGCAGAATAGTTCAGCTGAATAAAGTGGGTTTGGCTCCACTGGCAGCGTTTTGCTTCGAAGGCTTGTGGGCTGGACTTATCTTAGCCATGGTAATTGAAGACGGCGTTTGTCACAGGAAATGAGTCATATTTCAGAGCGTTGCTAAGAGAATAAGGAAATTAAGCTGCAAGTTCGCATCAGAGCTGTAGAGGCTTTGTCTCTCTCTCTCTTTTTCCTTTTCTATTTCTTTTTCTTTGACTGTGTTGAGCAAGCTTCTTCTCTCCTAACTTTTGGCTTTTCATTGTTTGGGGTTTTGGCCCTTTCCTCCCACCCACAGCAATCAAAACATGTTGCAATAAAGTTTTGGATAATTTTTCTGTTTTTCATTAAAACAGCACTGCTGTTATGGCTGCTCCTCTGGGCCAAAATGGAATGAGATGTGAATAATTGATGTGAACTCTGAGTTTTACTCTAGCGTGAGCAATCATTGTGGTTGTACATTGATTTGTTGGAGGGGTAACAACAACCTAAACATGCTGCACTTACTGATGGGATTCTCCTGTGACCACACATTCGTGGTACATGTTGCTACCCATTTTTCTTTCCAGGCATTAGTAATTCTTTAATCACTCCCCGTGACCTGAGCACCAGGCAGAGTTGGGTGCCATGAAGCTTGGTGCTGCCTCGTGCCTGGTGCCCAGCACCCACACCAGGCTTCACAGCCGTGAGGAAGGAGTTGAAGTCCCAGGCACACCTGCCCAACACTCCCTGCCCGGACTCACCACCCTTTCCTCACGCTGCCTTTAACTATTGCCTCTCCATCAAGTTCAGGCTTTCTCCTGTGGTCCCAAGGCTGCTTACAGGCAAAAAGGCCTCCTGGGGGAATCATGTGAATGAAACACGGTGCTCAGAGCTCCCCTGCAGACCACGTCTGACAGCAGAAGGTAGGTTGAGGTGAGAGGTGGGTTGACCCCGGCCAGCAGCCAAGCACCCAGGTAGCCACTTGCTCACTCCCTGTCCCCAGCAGGACAGGAGGAGAAAGCAGGAAGAACAAAAGTGAAAAAAACTCATGGATCAGGATAAAGACAGCTCAGCAGGTGTGGAAAGAACGGGGAAAAGCAGTGGCCACTTTGGAAGCCACTTCTGCCCCCTTCTTCCTCTACTGCTTTTATTGCTGAGCATGTTGTTATGTAATGTCCAATATCCCTTCTGACAGTTCAGGTCCTGTCTGTTAAAGGCAAACACAGTAATTGTGTTGTTGCTGATGTTTGTTGCTGCTGTTGTTTTTTAAGGTCTTGATGCATAATTTTGAGAACATTATTTTGTTAATCAAACTATTTATTCCTCAGTAACTAGATGTATATATGTATATTCTCCAGATCTTTATTTAAAGCCTTTAATTTAAAACATTACTTATCTCTTAGTATAACAGATGGCGGCAGACAAGAACTGACAGTGGTGAAATTAAATATGAGTTTTCTTGCATTGTGAAATTTTGCTGTGTATCATAGAATCACAGAGATCATCTAGTCTGCCCTCCCCCCAAACAGGATCACCTAGAGCACATCAGTGCAGGAAATATGACAAGAAATATGACAAGCACTTGGATAGGACAGAATAGTACAACCACCAATAGCACAGCTTTAATGGAGAGTAACACACACAGGCTAAGTGTAGTAAAGGACGAGCTTTATTCTTTCTGCTCTTAAAAAGGAATGCATACAGTTAAGTCTCAAACTATCTACGACAAATTATGGTTGGGATAATTCAAAGTTAATGGAAATGAGTTATTGCTTCTTTTGGATCCAGAGTGCCCCTTCAGACAAGTCTTTGTGATGCTCCAGGTTTCCAGAAGGCTTGTTGGTATATACAGCAGTGTGTTGTCTACATGGTGCCTCCAGCAGTCTATACCTGAGCCAGAGTTAAGAAGCTCTTACAGAAATAGAAGCCATGATAATAAATTACAATAACTCTATGCACTGCCATTTAATTCTTTCCCTGAATGCAGAGGAAGATCTTTTTATGGTGGGTAAATATCACAAATATAATGGAGAAATAATGGAGTGTTTTTTTTTTTTTTAAATGTGTGCAGTTCTCTGACAAAGATATAGTGGTGTGATCACTATCAGTATCTTAAATGATCATTACTCATATATAAACGTGTGTGGAAACCTTCGCTGTATTAAAAGAGTACCTGCAGCGCTCAGTACCAAAAACAGCAGCCTTAAAATCAAGACACTAAGACAGTAGCTGTCGCAAGAGGAACGCGGCTGCCCAGCTGGGGGGGTGTCGGCTGGAGGCCCGGAGGGACGGGGTCGCGGTGGTGGCCGGGGCTGCGTGTCCCAGTCCGGATACCAGTTGTCATAACCTTAAAAACAGCAAAGAAATAGGTGTGAGAACCTGTCCAGCTTAGCCACGCTCATAGGAAAGCAACGAAGAGAATTGGATACGTACTTATCAGCTTCTCACGTCCTGCATTTACTGTGGAGAGATGAGAAAAAGGACATAAATGTGACCGTCACTCAGTGGTGTTTCTTAGCATAAAAAGGCATGCCAGTGCTGCTGCCTGGCTGATGGCAGCAGTGCTGCCGTTGTTGCAAGCATCTGGCAGCGGGGAACTCGGTCAGCAAGGGGGCTCCCCACTGAGGTGGGGTTAGTGCTTTTTGTTGAGCAGGAGGAGAAGCAGAAGCGAAGCAGCTGCGATGGGAAGTATTGGTGGCATGGGGAGGAGGGAAGTAAATAAAAAGGAGACTTGAAATTTATTTTAAATTGATACACAAATCAAATTTAAATAGTTAGAGACAGACAAATCTAACTACAGAATTTGTCAGAAAAAAAAAACCAGATCTTTACTAAGAGCTTTGATGCATTTGCAGGATTGCACATGTGCCCCTACTGACATTGTGATTTGTCCTATAGGAGAATATGGTAAAACTGGTTCTAAGATCTAGCTCTTAAAAAGCTCTCTTCCTCCTCTCCCTTCCCCTAGTCTTTGTGATGCTTCTAGTTTTTCTGTGGTGCATCAACTTGTGACTTCGAGATGAGTCAGCCAGGATGTCACAGAAGGAAATAAGAATACCAAATGCTCAATTATTTCTACAGCTGAAGCTATCTAGTGCCTGGCTCCTAGAGAACATCTCTATTAAACCTCTGTACAAAAGTCATATTTAAGACACCGTTGCATGCTTTTTACTCTCTGATTATTTAAAACACTGTTTCTGACAAATCTGGAACTAGGTGTAAGAACAAAAGTCCACAGGTGCAAACGTGGAAAAACAAGCTTTCACTGTGGTATTTCAGAAAACTGTAGAAGTAAGTGTGTTTTTCAATACAGCCTGATTATTGGTTCCAAACTATATATTTTTTTTGCAAAATGTGATAGAAAATATTAAACAAGCAGGAAAGCAGAAGTTAAACACACTATTTCTTGTAGAAAATCAAAACAAAACCAAAACAGATGGGAATATCTGTGAGGGATATTTTAGATTTGACTTCTTGGTCAGTTAAAAGACAAAAAATAGTCTGATATTTCTCTTTTTTGGAAACTCTGTTTTCTGTCTCTGGGAGCTTTAAATAACAAAATATCCCAATCAATTCCTTCTTATACTATTTTAACCAGGGCTTAGTCCTGTTGGTCTGTGGTGGGCTACAGACCCACTATGCATTTAGCACATTTCTCCTCTGCTGTATTTCCACCGATAATTGTGATACTTTTAGCTCCTCAGCAGATCACTTCGGTCTTACCACAGAGCTTGTCCACACACTTGTCATTACTGCATCTACTGCATGGTGGTCCCTCTTCATAAGGTTTTGTTGGGTAATTCCCCCTGCAGAGCAGAAGAGCAATACTTTGTTAGCTCTGTCTTTGGAAAATAATTTAAATACATGGTTTCATTATATTGCTAGAATAATTTGCCATTGTAACCTATTATCAGGGGAAAATAATTTTATGCAAAAAAAATGATCATTATCATTATTTGAAATTCCTCTTGGATCAGACTAAATCTTTCACTGACATGGGGAGGCTTCTTGGGTAATACTGTACTATTCAGACTAACTATACAGGAATCTGCCTCTAGCCCCTCTTTACCCACACATACTTTAAATTAATCTGTAAAATGTCTGTCCAGAAATCACAGGGCATGGAATAAACTAGAGGATTGTCTTCCTTTTTTCATAGAATCACTTAGGTTGGAAGAGTCCCTTAAACCTATCTACTCCAACCATCAACCTAACACTACCAAGTCCACTACTAAATCTTGTGCTTTAGTGCCACCACATCCACATTTCTCTTAAACACCTCCATGGACAGGGATTCCACCACTTCCCTGGGGAGCGTGTTTCAGTACCTAGCCATCCTTTCCATGAAGGAAGTATTCCTGGTCCTTAGTCTAAACCTCCCCACGGTGCAACTTAAGATCATTTCCTCACATCCTGTCACTTGTCACCTGAGAAATGAGACTAACACACTCCTTGCTGCAGCCTCCTTCCAGGCAGTTGTAGAGAGAGATGAGGTCTCCCCTCAGTCTCCTCTTCTCCAAACTAAAAATGCCAGCTCCCTCAGACGCTCCTCATGAGTCTTGTTCTCCAGTCCCTTCACCAGCTCTTCCCCGAACACATTCCAGAAACTCAGTATCTTACTTGTAGTGAAGGGCCAAAACTGAACACAGTACTTGACGTGCAATTACTTCTGCGATTAATTCAATTGCAGTGTTCCTACTATTCCTGCAGAGACTGAACTCAAAACAGATTTTATCTGGCAATGCTTGCTGATGGTGAGTGCCCTCAGCCTGAGCCTGCTCACCTGCTTTTTTAGAAAGGGATTTTCTGCAGCCCAGACTCTGCCCAGCACCTTATGCTCTAAACAGACAGGGGAACCACTAACATGTGGACATAGCTTCTTCAGAAATTTGTTACAACTGCTCCTGCCATTAGTAACATCTGATACCAGGTCAGTCATAGGTTAGTTAAAAAGCAGAAAAATGAAACCCCAAATGCCATAATTGACTTACGCTGGCCCATAGTTACAAACAAAATGTGCTGCTCTGTCGAGTCCTTGAAAATTTTCTACTGTGTGGCAGAAGTGAACTGCACAGCCAACTTTGTAACTTGTTGCCCAAACAACCTGAAAGGCAAAGTGAAATATGTGATGCACCTGTTCAAGGACTCAAAAAACAACCAGAATTCACAGTATTGAATCAGAAGGTACTAGTGGCTGAACTGATGGATCTTGTGGCAGCTTAAAACAGACAATACAGGAGCAACATCAACAGCTCAAAGTACAGCAGAGACCTGACTTGAGCAGAGTCTGACTTGAGACCATTAGGTGGTTTTGCACTTATTACCTGGCTCCCTTGGAAACATGACATTGTTAGGGGGATAATCCTTTTCAACCATTAGTGAACAGAGGGCTCAGACACCCCGGCAGCTCAGAATATAGTTCCAATCTCATCCAGCAGTAAACTGCAGGGCAAAACCACTGCCATAATTCCTGTTCCAAAGCAGTCTGGTCTAAGCCTGCATTTTTTCTCTGAAACCATTACACTAGACAGAGAAAAAACTCACCTGTGTATAGTGACCACATATGCTAGTACACCTACGGGTGTTGAAATCGTAGCTTTTGAATTCATTAAACCAGTCATTCAGAGCTGCATGCACAGAAAAGATGGAGGCTGTGCCAGTCCAGATGTTTTCTCCTACAAAAGTAAAGGTGGGGTGCATCTTCTGTGGTATTTTAAGGTAGCTGTTGTGCCGAAACTTGCACTTCTTTGCCCATGCTTTGGCAGACTTAGCTAAAGCAGGGTCCCAGGACTGTACAAAGGAAAGAAAACATAATAGGCATAATAATGCTGAAAACAAACACACAAAAAACCATAACAACACTGCATTGCAGCGACTTAGTTGGATTCAAACAGTTTTAAACAGAAGATTGGAAAGATTTCTTTTCCCCTGACTCCCACTGAACATTCAGTTTCTTTCCCTGTCTTTTCAACTCCCACAACAAATTTTTTCTTCTTCTTTCTGCCTCAGATATTGCTAGACATATAGTATCTATCCCTGTTCTGTGGTATCTGACTTGTTACAATACTTAGAGCTGGACAGCAGTGTTTAAGCTGCCTGGTCCATGAGGAGACTGGTTTGTGAGACTTACAGAAAGATTTTATGCTGCTGGATAACTAGGCAATAAAATAGCAGGTCAAATTCAGTATACAAAAATACAAGTAAAGGCACATGAGGAGGAAAAATAATTTTGACTTAGTATTCATGACAGATTTGGAGCTGACTCTTACTGCTTGTAAATCTATGCTTAGCATAGATTAAGGCAAATAAAGTATTAGAAATTCCTCGAGAGGGACTGGAGAGTGAACCTAAATATATAAGTTCACCACTGAAGAAGTCCTGTTAAATACTGTGTGCAGTGCCTTGTCTTAAAAAGGGACACTAGAACTGGAAAGGGCACAGAGAATATGGGGGATTGTCAAATACTATGGATGCTCTGTAGCTTTCTGCGGAGACAGCTGAATGTCTTGTGAAGTATGCAAATAAGCAATGATTACTTGCTCTTTGCAGCACAAGGATCAGAGACTATCAAAGGAAGCTAGCAATTAGCAAGACCAAATCAAATGCAAGGAGATTTTTACATATCATGTAGTTAAGACTGCAATTTTGCTACGAGATATTAAGGGTGATAGAAGCTTGCATAGGCTGAAAAAAAGCCACGCAAGAAAAACCCATCACAAGCCTTTAAATAAAATGTAGCACCTCTCATTCAAGAGTTTCTGTATATTTGTCCTTCCAGGACTGCACGATCTTTGGTCTGAGCAGCTAAATTTTCTCCTGTTTTCTAGCATTCTAAAGCAAACTTGTTTTTAATTATTTTTTTTTTTTAACAAAATGCCAATAAATTAACATTTTGAGTAGTCTGACTTTTACATCGTTATCTGAACTTCCTTTCACAGAAATTATATCAGGCTGCAGTTGTGCATTTAACTTCCTTTTCAGCTAAGCAGCACTGCTGGAGGGTTCAAAGTAATGACGTAAACTGACTGGGTTTGCCTCCCCCAGCTCTCTCTCTACCTATTCCTTACATACTCCATTGAGCAAGCTGAGACCTATCCACGGCCTGCTCTGATATCCATTATGTTTATGGGAAGATCTGTTTTCCAGCCCAGCTACTCTCCAAACAGCACAGCAAAGGAAGATGAGGTGTCTATACGGGTGTCTAAAGGGGCAACCCCCTTTCTTCAATACGGATTCTAGACTGGAAGGCACAAGGTGAGGTGCTAGATTTTCAATAAGCCACGTTGCCTTTCAGGAGCTTCCTAATGCCAAGCAGCTTCCCTGCATGAAAGCTGGACTAACAGAAGGGAGATTACTGTCCCTCTTTGAAAAAGATAAATGCAAGGCTGAGAACTGAACATTACATATATTTTTTGTAACACAGTCCTTTGCTATGGCTGAAGTTTAGAGCTGCAACCTGTCCCCAGACAATGAATCCTCTTCCAATTAATAAGACAGAACAGTACTGTGAAAATTAATTGCTTTTTTATTTCCTACAAAGGACTATCAGATATAGTACCAAAATCATTGACAGAAACAGAAAGGAAAGCACAGAGCAACTGGAGAGTAAGGTGGGCTAACTCAGCAGCACCATCTATATTAATTTTCAAACCAATCACAAACGCCTCCTTACCATGCGAAACATATTGCTGGCTGGTGGATTCGTTTTGGATCGAAAGTTGTTGTGAGCGCTCACACAGTCTTTAATGAACTTTGCATCTTCAATGTCAGGCAAAGGATATTGTGCATACGCACGACAGCAGGCAAAGAGATCCAGTAAGAGCACTGCAGAAAAAAAAGATGTGATTTTCATAATTCTTCAATGCTCTTGGTATTTTTTCTTAAGTTTTTAAAAGAAATATCCCTTAGGTGGAGATAATGCTGCTAAGCAGTTTCTCTGTAGTCCTCTGGGTGTGCAAGCTCTTCAAAGTCAGAGCAACAGGAAGTGGAATTGCTTCACAAGGTACAGAACCATCTGACATCACCGCTGGCTGTCTGAGGGTAAGCTGAGGAACACGCATCTGCCACGCATATTGCCCAGAGGTACTGCCACACTTAAACGTCTGCCTCTTCTTTGAATGCCTTCCATCCTGGTTGAATGCCAAGCCATTCTGTGGCTGCAGGTCTTATCTGAAGAGGTGCTGCACAGCAACTTTGCTAAAACCTCCGTCAACCATAAAGATTGTAGCTATGACACAATACAGATCTGCTGTTCAGGTGCTTTTCCTATTGTGCAGCTTAGTTGTGCCGAGTCAACTGCAATTATTTTGTAGAATCTTTCTTCCGTTTCAGAGTTACTCTAGGAATAAATGGAATTAGCGAAACTGCATATATTAAATTTTGTGTCCCCACCAGGACAAAAACAACCAACCAAAGAAACAATAAAAATTGTTCCTAAGCAGCAGCTTGCTGTGGAACCTTCTAAGCTTCTAATTTGGTGTTTAGCAAAAGTATGACATTGAAATCCCAAGCATAAATGAGGGTGTTGATTCTCACCTTCACTAGCCAGCTGTTTATCTAATAGGCTGAAATTCTTGGAAGAGCTTTCTGTGCTCATGTGAGGAGAGAAGCTGTAGGATTACCACTCCTGAGGTAAAATTCCAAGCCTGATCCCTTTCTGGGACAGTAGGATGGGCAGTGCTGGGATTTGTATTCTCACCAGCTGTTCTACAAGCTGGTTAATTTATTTTTTTTCAAACCTGTAGCCCCCCAACATTTACATCTATCTATCCCCTTAATGGGAGACATGCAATTAAATATTTATCTCTGTGAATGCGTATGGATGTTAATGCATTACTAATTCTCTGCAGCCTCCTCCCCTTATGCCTGCCATGAGTTGTCCGATTTCATGAAGGTAGCACCAGCTGCAAGAGGCAACAGTGTAGGCACCTTCTGAGGTTTTGGATCTTTTGGGAAAGAAACAAAAAGGGGACCTACAATTATTTTTGTTCGACAGGCTTACCACAGCCCTTACAGAGGGGCCCTCACAGCAGAGACGAATGGGATGAGGTTCAGCACCAATTAGTGCTGGGTCCTGCACTTTGGTCACAACAACCCCATGCAGCATTACAGGCTTGGGGCAGAGTTGCTTGAAAGCTGTGCATAGGGAAAGAATCTGGGGGTGATGGTTGATACTTACCTGAACCTGAGCGAGCAGTGTGCCCAGGTAGCCAAGAAGGCCAACAGCATCTTGGCTTGTATCAGCAATAGTGTAGCCAGCAGGATCAGGGAAGTGATCATCCCCATGTACATATACTCAGCTCTGGTGAGGCCACACCTTGAGTACTGTGCTCAGTTTTGGACCCCTCAATACAAGAAGGATGTCGAGGCCCTGGAGCATGTCCAGAGAAGGGCTATGAAGCTGGTGAACACAAGTCCTGTGAGGAGCGGCTGAGGGAACTGGGGTTGTTTTGTCTGGAAAAGAGGATGCTCAGGGGAGGCCTTATTGCTCTCTACATCTACCTGAGAAGAAGGTGTGGGGAGCTGGGGGTCATCGTCTTCTCACAGATAACTAGTGATAGGACTAGAGGGAATGGCCTCAAGGTGCACCAGAGGAGGTTCAGGTTGGAAATGAGGAGACATTTCTGCTCAGGAAGAGCAGTCAGGCATTGGGACAGGTTGCCCAGGGAGGTGGTGGAGTCACCGTCCCTGGGGGTGTTCAAGGAAAGGTTGGATGTGGTGCTTAGGGACATGGTTTAGTGGGTGACATTGGTGGTAGGGCGATGGTTGCAGCCCTCAGAGGCACACTAGACTTGGACAGAGAGGGATCAGGACATGATTTGTCCTTGCTTCCCATTTTGTTTTACAATAGTTTCCAGTGCTTTGAAACTCTCCCAGAAAGATCACAGTGTAGTGGGTTTATGTGGCAAGGTTTTGGTAGCAGGGGTCCGTAGGGGTGGCTTCTGTGAGAAGAATCCAGAAGCTGCCCCATACTAGATAAGGGGCCTGATGCTGGCCAGAGACAAGCCAATACATGATGTTTGTGCCTCTGTGAGGGCAGATTGAAGAAAGGAAAAAACAACAAAACCAACAACAACAACAAAGCTGGGAGAGAGGAGTGAGAAGCAGCCCTGCAGCCCCCAGGGTCAGTGCAGCAGGAGGGCAGGAGGTGCTCCAGGCAGGCAGCAGCAGTTCCCCTGCGGCCTGTGGAGAGGCCCCTGGTGGAGCAGGCTGTCCCCCTGCAGCCCATGGGTCCCACAGGGAGCAGATCTCCACGCTGCAGCCCGTGGAAGAGCTCTCAGTGGAGCGGGTGGATGTGGTCTGGAGGAGGCTGCGGTCCATGGAGAGCCCCCGCAGGAGCAGGCCCCGGGGTTACCTGTTCCCTTGTCAGTGGGTGGCTGTGGTTTCATCTGCCTCCAGAATGTTATGTGATGGTCATGACCTCACCTACATCTAATAGATCCACCTGTTGCAATTGGCACCTGGTGTACCGCTACCATTGCCAAGGTCACTTATCTATCAGAGTTTCTATTCTCATCTGCTGTCTTGCTCTGTCCAGAAATGGGGTGTAGGCATTGGCAAGAGTGATGGGGCCCTCACCATTATGGTCATTGCTCCCCTCCCCTCCTTCTAAACTGAACATCAATGAAGGCTCATCATCTACTTGTCGCTTAGAAGTTATCTTGCCTCGAAGGCTCATCATCTACTTGTCGCTTAGAAGTTATCTTGCCTCTTTGCTAAGCCAGGTCAAATGACTTCAGTTTACTGACAGTTATTATCTGAAAAGGCACGTATTAAGCTATGTTCATAACAACAAATAGGTTTAAAAGCAGTTTCAGTTTAACATCTACATGTTTGGGTGTTATTAACAGAGCTTTGTATACTGAGCTGGTGCTTGGTAGGAGAAAAAACATAAATCTTACCTGGGAAACTTGGACCCCCTCAGCTACATACTGCTATGAGGAAACCCAGATGTAAGAATACGCTTTTTCTCAGATGGACTTTATGTAAAAACATGACTATATTACATTGACAAGCAATTCATACAAAAAATATTAGCAATGTAGTAAAACTGCGCCATTAATTTAGCAATCCAATGATCTAGCAGTTTTATATTTGTGCAGCAGAAATGTTCTGCTTGGAGACTGAAAACTGAGACCTTTTTGAAGCAGAAAAATTTGATATATGCAGGATAGTCCGGGTTGTAAGATCACAGAATCATAAAATATCCTGAGTCGGAAGGATCATCGAGTATAAACTCCTGGAAGATGCTTTCTTGGAGAAGATGACTCTGGCTCCATCTAGTGATTACATCTAATTAAAGCAGAAGTGCTGTCTGCCCATAAGCATCTAGAAGTGATGTTTTCATAAAAAGAATTATAATCTTTCACCATTAATCAGCCTTTCTCATAAACCAGATGAAAATGAAGCCTTGTGATTTGGATATCCACATAGTATTTGCCTGGACAATACAAACATTGCCTGTCCCTGCATAAATCTCAAGTGAGATTTAGCACAATGAGTGAGGCATGGGCAGGAAGCTGTACAGCCCAATTATTTGAAAAAAAAGATCCCATGGTTAGGTTCCCCTTTCTCACTTTTCACCTTTCATTTTAAAATGGCTAGAAACATAAGAATAGAAACAAAAATAGAAGAATAGAAATAAGAATAGTAAGAAGTAGAAACATAATGGATATAAACATTATTTATTTATGTATTTATGCAATTATTTTGGTAGTAATGAGGGTATAAAAAATCTTAGAATTAACAAGGGAGGCCATGAATGTGGTTGGACTGCAGGCTGTTTTACTGTTGTTTTGGTTAGGGCACTTTGTACAGTGCTGCTTACTGCAACTACGCCCCATAGCCTAACTGAGCAGAACTGTAATGTGCAGCTTGCTGACCTCTCTGAACAGTCTACGGGGATGCCATATGGACCAAAGTACAAGAGGTTGCTAGTTGTTCTTAACTTTGTGGTGCCTACCTCCTGCCAGTAAAGATGGCCCTTTATCACATCTTCTTTGGCCTTCAAACCCAGCCTGTTTCACACCGTCCTTCCAACCAAAGAGTAAGGGACGTGTGATACATCCACCAAAGGCTGTCTCCTCCCTTTGGTGATAGGCCTGCTGAAAACCAAAGGCACGACAAATAGGCAGTGATAATGCTGGGGAAGACAGTGGTCTCCTGAGTGACAAGTATTGAGTGACAAGCGGTGCCCAGTGACAGGACAAGGGGCAATGGACAGAAATTGAAACACTGGAGGCTACACCTAAACATCAGGATGGACTTTTGTCTTGTGAGGTTGCCTGAGCATTGGCACAGGCTGCTGAAAGCAGTTGTGAAGTCTTCCTCCTTGGAGATATCAAAAGTCACCTGGGCATGGTTCTGGGCAACCTAGGTATCCCTGCTTGAGCAAGAGCATGGACAAGGTGGCCTCCAGAGGTGCCTTCTAACCTCAACCTCTCTGTGCTCCTGTCATTCCTTCATGGAGCTGAAGCTCCACTGGGTTGTGCACAATGAGGGATTTTGAATGATCTCAACAACATAGATACAGGAAGCTTGTTACATGTGTATGCCTAGCTGTGCTGCATCTCTGGTTATCTCTTTATTTTTAATTTCAAGGTGCTAAATGAGAAGATTCCAAAAATAAGGCTTTTCTGCTGTCCATTGTACGTCCATTTTCTTAGGATAACACCTGAAATAGTTGGTGCATGGCAGTAGCATGAAAATGTGTACATTCAAGAACCACTATAATACTATTAAAATATTACTGAAAAATACTCAGGAATCTCCTGACAGAGGATACAGAAAGCCGTTACAGTCCACCTCCATGCTGTTTTTAGAAAAATGTTATTTGGAATGAACTACCTTCTCAGCCACACCTAGACTTCCTCACAAAGACATTGGGGTATTAGGCAAATTAGGGAATGGAGCAAAGTATTTTTGTGTGGACACAAGAACCATCACTGAGGATGGTAACAGCCTGTCAGTGTGTAGATGATATATCATTCCAGTGCCTCACAATACTGAGACTATAGTTATTCTAACTCTTCTCGGTAGCAAAGTATAATAGAAAATTAGGTCATCTATGCACAAAATTTTATATTGCAGGTACTAAGCAATCTTTTTCCTTACCAAGTTCGAAATTAAGCTTTACAACCATAAGAAGCCATCTAAATAAAGATTTTATCTTCAGAGACCTAACTTTCAGGTAAAGCACCGGGAAGAGCTGCTGCTCAGGAACTTTCATACTGTGCAATTTTGTATGAAGGAGTTGCCTATTTATGGTCTTAGGTATTAGACTCTTAGATTTGAGAATGTAATCCAAATTTTAAATAAAAGGCTAATATATTTAAAGTCTGTTGTGTGTTTGAGTAATTTTAGAATAGAAAACTTACTGAAGAAATAGCTATCATGTCTGATTAAATTAATCTACAGCAGAAGTCTAGCTTATTTTCTTTGAGACTCTTTTATAATTTATTTTTTTTTTTATGCCATCAGTGGAAAATACCAGCACAGATTTAAATCATCAACTGCAGCGTTTTAGATCTGAGTTGTCTATCATAGACACAAAGAAAGGAAATATAAAACAAATTTGTTCCAAAAGACGAACTCATGGAAGATTCCTTTAAGTTCAGATTGAGTTCTGAACAGTAAGAAAATAATAAAAAAAATTTACTTTTTTTTTGTTGTTTTATAACAGTGAAACATTACCTAATAATAATGTATTTTAACAGTTATTTTAGCATTTATTAGATAAAACTGATACAATTAAGAAAATCTACTTTATTAAACTGGTAACAAAAACAGCTTCAGATCCTTGTGTAAATATAATTTGTTTTTAAGAGAAAGTGAAATTAAAGCATATGAATTAAAGACTTGCTGTCTTAGATATAGAAGAATAAAATCTGTGTTGAATAAAAGGACTTAAGCAGGTTTCCAGAAAAAAATAACAGAAAATTTATTATTAAAAATTTAGAACACTTACAGAACAGGAAATACTTTATGCATAAGTAACAGTACAGGTTAAAACAAATAAAATAAAAGGTTTACAAATGAAACACAAGGTTTGGCATTTTATTTTGAAGGAGGAACAATAAATACATTACTGAATAAAAACCAGATTGTACTAACTTGTTAAACATCAAGATTTCTAAAGAACTGTTTCTACAGAACCTTCTTACTTTATATATTTTAGTTGGAACATTCTGTCACTCTAGGAAATAGGACTGAGTACATAATATGATGTACTTCCTCTCAGCATCCAAATTCAGCAATTGTCACTTCAAATATTGGCTTAGGATGAATCGTAACAGTTATTTAACTGATAAGTAATTTTCTCCTTGAATTCCAGGAATATACTATGCAAATGTGGTAATTAAATTCAGTTGAATATGTAAATTTGGTAATTAAAAACAATACCTCAGATCTTATCAGATGCCATCTTTAGCTTAATGTTTTCCCAGCATGGGTCTTACCTACAAGTATGTTCAGTTTTATAGCATGTTATCTTTTTATAAACAGAATAAAGTAGTAACAAAATTACTTGAAAAGAAAGCTGTCTTTAAAGTTATGGCAAAAAGATTTTTGCTTAATTCATTAGAGATTATCTTCAGAACATAGTATGTATTTCAAATACAGTTATATGGACGTAGCCATGTCTGGAAAATTCTTTTTGATTAAAAAAGCAATTAATAAACCAAGAAACATGAACCATGCTCTTAAAACTATAAGCACGATGCAAGCCTCATCACATACAATTCTGAACTCCCAAGGCTGGATGCCATCTTGAGTAATCTATAAATAAACATATAAATGTAAGTTTTGTTGCGAATACATACATTTATAGCAAATAAGGAATATACACAGCAGTGTGAAATTGTAATACGTACAGACAATTTTATCACGTTCTGCATTTTCTGGGAAAAGGAGAAAAAAAAAGAAACAGTTTTACTAGACAGCCAGTATTTCTATCTCCTTAAATTTTTACTAGTTAGTTAAAACTAACCGATCAGATTTACAATAAAGAGAATTTGACAAACCTGAGAATTTGCACCAATAAACCTTAAAAATAAAAAAGCCCAAATGTTTTGATAAAACCTAAACGGCAATCCTTTGAAATACTTCATAAAGATATTATTGCTTGTAATAATAACATTGATAGGTAAAAGCCCCATATAAAAATGAAAATAAAGCCCCATACAGTCCCTTTATTTCCAGTTTGAGCCCCTCTCACCTTCGTGTTTCTTAAAATAATATATCTATCATGTTAATATTCACAATATACACATGAGTTAGTACATACTACCATATACAATTATATGACCTGAGCATAGGAGACAGACTGTTTCCTAAGTGGGTCCTAATCCTGGGATGAAGTATAACCTGATAGTCCATCTAACTGTTCTTCATATGTGTCTCCTACCTAAGAGACCTGCAGGATTGCTGAATGCTTTTAAAGCTATACTAATATATACTAAGCAAAGATAATAACTACCTGCTAAACTACAAGCCTTCCTCCCAGTTATTGAATGAAACTTAAAAAATGTATGTCCTTACTCTAGCCACATGAAACTCCCAGCTTGTGACTTCCCAGTAGGTGGAAGCTATAGGTCTGGAACCTTCTGAAGAGAGACACCCTACTGTCTGTTACTGTTTCACTCTATTAAAACTTGATGCATATTTAGCCATTCATGACACTAACTTGTTTTCTCATCAATAAAGAGTTAACAGAATTACTCAGTTTAAGGAATAAATACAATTCATTGCCATGGGGAAATATTTCATAGCTGAAGAATTAACTAAGTTATGTGCTTACTTCTCACACATATGAGAAAGTGAGAAAGACAACATGCTTTTGAGAAAAAAAAATAAAAAAATTACAACTCTGGCATGAATTACAGAAGCAGAACAACTTTCCTGCTGTTACTGTGACCATTTACAGAGTGATCAGCTATACTCCTTACTCATACATAGCATATATACTCATATATCATAAAATTCCAGAATCATTAAGGTTGGAAACGACCTCCAAGATCATCTGGTCCAACCATCCCCTTACTACCAATGTCACCCACTAAACCATCTCCCTGAGCACCATGTCCAACCTTTCCTGTAACACCCCCAGGGATGGTAACTCCACCACCTCCCTGGGTGCCTAATTACTCTTTTTAAGAAGAAATGTCTCCTAATTTCCAACCTAAACCTCCCCTGGTGCAACTTGAGGCCATTCCCCCTCATGTATAGCATCAGCTGCACTCATTCTCAAACGTAATTTGGGTATGGCTAAACAAAATGGTCACAACAGACTCAGTAACTGCAATCTCCATATTTTAGTTTTAATACAACTGATTAGTAGCTTTGCAGTCTCTGAAACCCATTAGACTGCTCAAGAGCATCTGCTAAATACTACTTGAAAAAGTATGTAGATGCTGATTTCTTTGGTATGGCTAATGAAGTCAGCAAAGTATCAGAGTGCAACGGAATACACTTAACTGCAATCATGAGTTATGCCTGTCTATAATCAAATGGACACTTGATAATTATCACTGAGATCTAAATTCAGTATCGTGAACAATGTATTTGTTCTTTGAATATAAATGGCCTTAGGAGTTGTTTACAATGACCTGCAAATTGGACCTGCCAGAGCACCAGCAAGGAGCAAACCACAGTTTGCAAGTCTTTATTAAGTAGGTGGTTCTATTTTTTCCTTTACATTTTGTATTTTGCATTTGCTTTTACTTACTACACAATTTATATCTACAGATGTCCCCTTCTGAACATCCACTACATGGTACTCCTTCTTTATATGGTCTTCTTAGAAAATTACCACTACAAAAGAAAAATAAAAGTTTCTATGAGACGGGTTGCCTCATATATTTTTAAGTAAATCATGTATTGAAGTAAATACACTGAAAACACAATATGCTGCTCACAATTCATTAAAAACCTTGGAATAATTTTGAAATCTTTCTTTTCATTGTCATCATTCTGTCCATGTAGAAGAAGAGAGTCTTAAAAAGATACTATTTTTCTTTCAGACTTTTTACTGAAATTTATTGAAATACTGAAATCTGTGTTTTCAAGCTCCTACTGCTTTAGGAACAGTACTGGCTGGATGTTTTTTTTTTTTTTTTTTTTCCCCCCCTCAGAGTATTGATTTAACTGTAAAATGAGTTAGTGTTTCAGTTTCAGTCAGCAATTTCTTTCATTGATCTTTTAGTGTTTTCTAATGCCTAAACAATACTTGGTACAATTACAGCTATTAAATTGGAAAGAAATGGTAGTATAATTTTATTTTTCTCATTTACACAGAAAGAAAAAGCAACAGATCTAACAACTGGGCTGTTATCGACTCATTTCTGAAGATACAAAAAAAAAAAAAAAGCTGAAACAGCATAAAAAGCCAACTGCATAAAAAGAGTACAGAACTGCAAGAGGTAATTCCAGCTCCAATTCCAGTTGCTTGCAGCAACTTTCTCATTTCTTCTGGTTCGTAGTAAAAAAAAAAAATTAAAAAAAAATCAATGAAGTGGAGCACAAGCCAGTGTTTGGGATTTGCTTAAGATCAGCACAGAATGACTTTATCAGTAAAGTTAACAGATTAGAAAAAACAAGCAAATACATGTTCTAGCAGTCATGGCTCTCTTCATAACTAAATCAGACAACCATCACTCTCTCTGATGGTATTTACGAGGGTAACAATAAATGAAAACCCCATTTTACTTTCAGTGAACTTTTTTACAATTACTTTCATTTTCTCAATATTTAAAACAGAGACTCACACTGGTGCATAGTTGCAAATAAAATTTGCTGCATTTCTTATTCCTCCAACTTCCTCACAAAAAACAACAGCACAGCCTAGTTTGTATGACTTGTCCCAAACAACCTAAAAAAAAGTTTAAAAATAAATTAAAAACTACACTCGATAGCAACCTAGTTGAATATCTAGGAAATACCAAGTTGTTTTAAGAGACCGTACATATTACCCTCATTTTGCAACATCTGTTTTCTCATTAAAAAAAAAAAAAACAACGCTGGTAGGAAAGCATCTTAAGATGAACTTTTAAATTTTCACACCTCAAGATTATGTGATCTATGCTGCAAGTTTCCAGAATCTTCTATAGAACAATCTCAGTAAGCATCACTGACTTTACGGTCCCTGTGTTTCAAAGAAATTAGGGGGCAACTTCCTGATAGCTCCTTTACATAGGAGCTTTAAGCACTTATAACTTGGGGCTGCAAGAAGGGCTTCTCATGTGTGCTGGAAATGGTCTACAAGTAAATGGTAACTACAAGTCTGAAAGCTTTAGCACTGCGCAATTCAGACTAAACAGCGTTATCTGCCCTACTTAAGAGAAGATGGTTTACTATCGCTTCCAATTCAAGCATCCTCTGCCTTTTCTTGGGAGATTCTTCCTGCATATGACTAACCAAACTGCACTGAATTCAGTGAAGAACTTTTAACTATATACCTAGAACATCTGGATGATCTTTGTTTCTACTTCTGGAAAGCAAAGACAGAGTGGTTTACTATCACTTTCTGATAGTGCAGGCCTCAGACTGACAAAATGAACATCCCCCAAAATGAATGTCCCCTGAAGTTCCATCTTACCAGTGTTAACAGCTAGAAGTGGTTATGTTAAGAAGACCCAATCTTTCTCAGAAAAGGATTTAAGTGTTTAATGTGAAACTACCTGAGTCCCAGATTACGGACAGCATTTCAGGGCCCTTGGTGTAACAGTCTGAATTTTGCACATTTCCGCTGCTTTGAGATTTCTGGATCATGGTTCTCTCAGCACGTCTACAAAGCCTATCTATTTACGATTTGTAAATTGTACCCATTTTCAATTCTTTGTCCAAACCTTCCAAGACCATGGTGGCCCCTGGATCATGCAGGGTCTTTGCTCATTGACTTTTAAGAAATGTGTACTTTTACACATTCACTGGTGTTTTACCCATGTAATTTGCTTTTTTATTTTATTTTATTTTTTTTTCCCCAGTGATTAGTTTCCTTCCTATTCCTGCCTGAAAGGCATGACTATTTTGTTTGGACTTAACCATGTAGAACAAGCAAGAAGCAAACAACCTGAATTGGGGGAAAGAAAGCTTAGAGTCCAGTATCACTCCAAGAAAAATGTGGAAAAGCCTCCAAAATTCTCTGTAGGAAAAGATCAAACAACACATCTTCAAATGGCAGTTGTAATCTTCTAGAGATTTACTGCTCAATAGAAAGCAAAATGCAAGTTCTCCAGCCTTGCTTTTGAATATGTAGAAGGCAGAACAAAACATTTAAACTCTCACATTACAACTCCCTACAACTTCTTGATGAGGGAGGGAACTGCCAGTCTCTTCTCCCTTGCAACTGATGGCAGAGCATGTGGGAACAGCACGAAGCTGCAGCAGGGGAGGTTCAGACCAGACAAGGAAAAACTTCTTTACTGTGAGGGTGATCCAACACTGGAACAGGCTTCCTAGTGAGGTGTTTGATGCCCCACGCCTGTTGGTGTTCCAGCGGCATTTGGATAATGCTTTCAGTAACTTTTTCACAGCCCTGAAGAGGTCATGCAATTGTACTAAATGATCTTTGAAGGGCTCTTCTAACTGAACTATTTTATTCTATGTTTGGTCATAACTTATACTAGTTTGTTTTCAAATGCTTGTTTTTTAAATACAGCAATAAATAAATCCATTTAAAATATTAAGTGTTCAAAGAAAAGCACTATTTTCTTAACAGAATTAAGTTTGTTGGAATTACCACTGACAGAAATGTATTGCAAATTGCCTCTTTTGTTGCGGATGCTCTGTTTTTTGGTCTTCTTTTCTTACTAGATGTGTAAAGGATATGATTTTCTCATGTTAACTTTTCTATTAGAGAATTCTCAAAAGCATTCTGCAATTACTGTATTTACTTCTAACAGCAACTCCAAACGTACAGAATTAAAAAGCGTGTGGGTATGCAGTTGGAGAACTTGGAGCAACTATTTTATAGAGTTCACATAGTACTGATACAATTAAATAAGTAGTGAGGCTTTCAGTGACGACAATCCTACAATAAAGAATTATAGCTTATTATTACAGGATTTTATATAAAAGAGAGTAGACCAGTGTAGGGGTAGCTTGCACTATTGCCACTCCTTGAGATTGGCAAAGAAGACAGTAAGCTGCCAGTCACTATAAACCCCATACACAATTCTGTATTAGTTAGTCTCTGATTTATCTTGTAGGTACTATACAAGAACTGTTCATAGCATTTTACTGAAAATGATTCTTACCTGAATGTAACGATCGCAATTCTTAATACACGTGTGCAGTGAGAAATTGTAGAATATGTTATTCTTATACCATGTGCTAACGGCAGTCTGAACATCAAATATTTGATAACTTCCAATCCAAATATTCTCTCCAACAAATTCAAAAGTAGGATGACACTGATATCTCTTACTTAAATACGTGTTACTTTTAAAAACGCATTTATTTGCCCATGCCCTGGCCGTCCTTGCCAAAGCTGCATCCCAGCTCTGCAAAACATTAAAGTAGAAATAGTTGTGCAATGTCAAGTTACAGGAGAATCTCAGTCAGATAAAACCAGTCAGGTGATAAAGTAGGCACATACAGATCATGATATACCAATGATAGACATTATATATTGGAGTTACATAAACAATGCTTTTGCTTGTTTGAGGCATATATCCATGTTTTATTTTGATGTTTCCTATGGCAGCAGAGAAATAGGAATGTATTACATTAGGATTTTTTTTCCCTTCACTGTTGAAGATTAGCTTTGTACAAGCACTTGCTAGCACCAAAAAAGATGTCTGGAATGCACTTTTATCTTCAGGTAAGAAATTAGTCAGTAAGCATGAAACTTTTGGGGTATTTTTTCCTATTGAACAGGTCATTCAGGATTTCCATTATTTACATAAAAGTTAAAGTAAAAAATGGACACCTCCTCTAGATTCAGATGAAAAAAAATATTTGATGTATTTTTAAGAGATTCTTCAGCAACAAATACTTACCTATCCTACAGTAATGTTTTAAATACACATAAGAGCACTTTACAAAGTTAGTGTCATAAAATAAATGCTGTTTGGCCAATAATTCTTTCTGCTAGTTATTATTTCTTTGCAGTCTATCACCAGTCTATAACGTAACTTCTGATTATTTAACAAACACCCTTTTTATTTGTGCTCCACTCATGACCGTTTTTCAGCAGGTTTCCTCTATCCTTAAAGTACATAGTTTTATGTCTTATATAAAAGATCTTGGGTTTCAATGCCTAGGCTGGGCTTTATACATACGTTTTGGTTCACTCTTCATCTCCACGTGGTTGCCAATACGGTTTTCTTCCTAAGGTCTGTTGCTTTTTCTAACGTTTTCAAATCCTTATTTATTTATTTTTTCATCATTTTTTTTTTCTGGTTTTCCTATTCCTGAACACTAAGCACAGTGTCTTTAACCAGCCTCTTGACCTGCAGGGATATATCCTCCCTAGCTGCCATTCTGGCTTCACACCCATGCCTGCAAAGTTATTATCTGCCACCAGCACCTGTTCCCAAGCCTTCCTCGAACAGCACCCCTTGCAGCTGTCACACAGTTTATTTACCACATTTACCTCTTCTTGCTGCACAGCACTGCCCTAACCACCAAACCCTCCCACTTTCAGCACCTTCGGTTTTGTTTCACCCTGCCCAGCAAAACGCGGTCCAGTCGGAGAGGCGGAGGCTCTCCCTCGCCACCAGGCACTGCCCACCCAGCTCCCACCCTACAAACCTCCAGCCTCCTACAAACCCTTCTCCCCGACGAAGGGAGGCGGCGGCTGAACGCCAGCCTCGCCTGCCCGGGGCTCTTCCCTACCATTTGCCTCATGTTGCTGGCGGAGGGCACGACCTGGCGGCGGAACTCGTTGTGGACCCTCACGCACTCCCTGATGAACGGCCTGTTGGTGATGCTGGGGAAGATGGGCTGAGCCCACGCCGCCTCCAGCCCCAGCCCCAGGGCCAGCACCGCCGCCCACAGCCCCGGCCCCATGGCTCCGCAGCCGCCCCAACGCTCCGCGCCCCGAGCCCTTTCCAGAACCTTCACGACCCCCCCCCGCCCCCCACCCGCCCAATCCCTTCCGGAGCCTCGCCGAGCCCCGCAGCTGCCCCCGCTCCCTCGGGGCGGTGCGGGGAGCCGGCAGCCGCTCCGAGCCCGCCGGGGGGCGGTGTGGGGCCGGCCGGCGGCTCGCAGCTCCTCCGGCGCCAGGGAGGCGGCGCGGCCGCGGCCATGGCGCTGTCGGTGCTGCAGCAGGCGGTGGTGTCGGCGGTGCTGGTGCTCTGCGCGCTCCTCGCCGCGCCCAGGATGCTCGGGGGAGGCGGCGGCAGGGCCGGCAGGGCTCCGCGGGGCCCCAGGGCCGGCCCCGGCCCTCACGATCCCCGGGCGCAGCACGGAGGTACCGCGGGCAGCCGCCGGGCCGGCTCTGCCCGGGGAAGCCCGGAGGAGCCGCCGCGAAATGGCGGGCGGGGGGGGGGGGGGGGGTCGGGGCGTGAGGCGGCTCTTGGGTCTTAGAGCATCGATTTACTGATGTTGCTCTGTCACTGGAATACATATATATATTGGATATATATATGGCAGCTGCAGTGAGTGGGTAGGTGGCGTGGTGTTGCCGGTGGCTCTGACAGGTTAGGGACTGGGTTGGAACTTCAGCCAGGACAGCAGGTGGGACGCGTCGGCACCGGCTCTTACCAAATCTGTCAAGTAAGGTATTGAGAGGAGCCCAAGAGCCTTTCTTTAGGAAAGGTATCACTGAATGGGCCGGGCTGCTGTTTGCTGTTGCATAATTATCTGGCTGAATGTTTGATTCGCAGAAGTACAGCCTGTGGGGGTAGGTGCATAACACTGAATTTATTGCTCAAGCAACCAAAGCAACAACACAGCATGTGTATTTCGACTGTTTACTTATTTATTTATTGAAGACTTGTATGTTAAAGGAAGATAGAAACTTAATTCGAGAGTCTTTTCTACCTAGACTTAACTTTACATTCTGTATACAGACGAGTACTGTAGGTAACTTTATTTTGATGTAGGGCTGACCACACCATTTACAGGAGCGAAAAACAAAGTGGGAGGGGAAATTCCAGTTGTGAAACTAATTACACCTTCGATTTCACTTTTTTGTCTTCTTTCTCTCATTTCAATTTTTAAGGTAGCCCTCAGGCAGTTCATCAAGTTCACCTGAATCCAGGAAATTCCGAGGGATCATAACTACCAGAGTATTCAGCAGATGAGAAATGCAATGGAAAAACAGATAAAGAGTGAGAGGACAAGAGGAAATGGTAGAGACTTAGCGTTCACCCTTATGCCATTGTATGCTCTTGGAGTGGGAGTGTTTGCAGCATACAAATTCCTAAAGGTAAGCCTTAAAGCATTCAGTTATTGAAATTAGAAGGAAATGTAATACTTGCTCCCCACCAAGCATGGCTGTCTGAATGACATTTTGTGCTCGGTTTGAATTTGAATGTAAACCACAGTTAAAATTGTAGCATATATGATTCTTCCTGCTGAAGAAGGCTTCTGACACTACATATTTTCAGACACTTAATGAGAATCTCATGCTTCTCCCCCAGTCTCAAATAAGACTCTGAGAATGCAAACAGTGCTGTTACCCGAGGCTGTAACTGAAGTCTCATTAGTGTTTCACTTCTTTTTCGTATTTGAGAATGACCTCATGTATGGGAAGGAGGTGATTCCTGTAGAATAATAGCCTTAGGGTAGCAATTGGATAGAATAATGAGCAGCCTAGGCACACACACACACTGTCAGCCCCTCTTTTAAGGGAGGAAAGAGGGGAATAAATAAAAGTCAGGGTTAAACATGAGAAGCAGGAGAGACAGTATCTTCATGTCCATAGTCAGTTTTATATCATCTCCTGTGCAAGAGGAATACAGCTGCTTAGTAAGATGAAGATAAAGGTTGAATAGTTTGGTTCTAATAATCATTGTAATTAGGTTGTATATAAAATTTAACATCATTAAAAACTGTATTTTGTATATTAAAACTCTGTACACTTATGCTTGTGGAACAGAAAAATAAGTATTTTTATAATAACGGCTTTATTAGTTTAAGAAAAGGAGTTTTATCTCCTAATTAATGGTAGGAGATTAGATCCAATAACGTAGAAGGTTCCTTCAGTTCATTTTTGAAAACTGGAGATGAAGAAGCAACCGCTTCCTTTATGACTTTTCTCTGTTATATTGTCGTTGTTTGAAATCAGAAGTGTTACTTTAATATTGCAAGAAGGCATAGCAGAAATAGTTTCATTAATTGAGTGCAAATGTTTATGGTTGCTATTTGCTGTCACTGAATTTGTAAATGTATTTTTATTTTTAATATCAGAATAGTTAATGCAGCCTTTAACACAATTTTATTTATTGAAGATGAAGGCACATGAAGAAAATCTCGCTAAGAAGGAAAAAAGCACAGAAGACAAAGCAAAGGAAACCGGTAAGATACCATTTAGTATGGAAACATTCACCAGATGTGTATATCCTACTGAAACAAAGCTACGTATTTTAATTAATGCAGTCTATCTGAAGAGGAACAGTCTTTACAGTTACTTAAGTGCTATTAGGAACCTAAAAAATCCACTTTATTCTATATATTTCAAACGGTCATTAGGTTTGTTTGCAAACTCCAGATGGTAGTATTCTTTAGAAGAGATACAGTAATACCTTGTAACCTTGTAAAGGTTCTCTACATTGTAATGTGTGATGTTTTTGTCACTTGAGACCTGATAGAATTTTCTTCAATAGAATAGGTTGTTTAAATAGGATATAATATTCTTTAAAATTAATAGGATATTGAACTGGAATACATTAAGTAGCTTTAGAATTGAACTGTATTGATAACAGAACAGTATAGACAATTTGATACAGACTGTTGTATTTCTGGGCCAAATTAGAGATTTGTCAAAACCATGAGAGGTTTATAGAGGTGACAAAGTAAGAAAATAAGTAAACGATGGTATCTTTTTCTTCATGATACAGAGTACCATTGGCTGTCAGATTCAGACTATTTTGGACATGCCGAGAAGTGGGCTTTCCTTTGGAGAAAAAGTTAGGGCACACAGAAGTTCTGTTATTCTCATACTTCTTTTTGGCCCTCTTATAGACAGTTAATTAAACAATTTATCAGCCTCTTTTGGTGTCCCTGTACATCAGATCTGCAATTGGTTTCAGCAGTGTTCTGTTACACTGCTTACTTACCACTCTTATGTATTGCATTTTTCTTTCTTCCCAAGTTTAATAGTATTTTAGAAAGAGTTACTCCTCTCAACTGTAGTGCCTGAAGCATTGAATGTAGTTGCAAGGTGTGAGTGAGCAAATTAATGACAGTGTATGAAGGCACTACTGTTGGCTCAGGAAATCTTGGAGCTGCACAGTTTCAGAGGCTGGGACGGTGACAGTCACAGTCTCAGTGTCTACCAGCATATACTGTTAGACACTACTAGAGGCGTTACCAGATGAGAAGTATTTCAGTTATACATTGTAAAGCTTCTGTTTTTAAAGCTACAACCTCCTTTTCACATTCTAGACTTTTATAGAGAAAAAGAAAAAAAAAACAACTGTATTTTGAATCTGTCCAACCACTGTTACAAAGTAATATCCTTTCGGTATTGTAAATAAATTTCATAATGTAGAGTGTTCGCCTTGCCCCTCCCTCCCTCCTTTTTTTTTTTTCTTTTGCTAGAACATCAGCTTTTAGAACTGGAGCAGCACCTAGCACAGACAGAGAAAATGTTAAATTCTTTATTGACTCAGTTGGATCCACTGTCAAACTGGTGAGTGATTTGAAAACATTTTAGTTAGTATTCTTGTCTGTAAATTGAAATTTTCCAAAATGTTAACAAAAAGTTCAAAAAAAGTTTCTTATAGATAGAGATCATTGTTTAGCAACCATCTTTAATTGCTTACTATTTCTGTAGCCTTTTACAGGTAGTACCTCGTCTGCCATTTAGGGTGTTTTCTAGAGACATCTCTCTTGTTTACCAACATAAATGCAAAAGCTCAGACTTACGATCAAGTTACTGTGGCTTAACAAGTTAAACTTTAATGTGGACTGAGGAGAATAATACTGGAAAAATAAGGTCAGCATCATTTGAAAAGCCTTGTGAGGATACAAATTATTTATTTTTATAGGAATAGAAAGTGTTCTTAAGCTTTCATTTGTGCTTACTGCTATTTTAGTAATAGGTAGTAATGGTAATAGAAGGATGGTTGGACTAGATGATCCTGTGGGTCCTTTCCAACCTTGTGTTTCTATGATTCTATGATTAGATTTCTGGTAGCAAAACGAATGTCTTCAATATCATTAGAAGATGAAACTGGTTATCAGTGTATAGCTGTTTATTTCTGTGTTTTGAAAGGAACCTGATAAATGAATGTGTGTGCTTTAGGGAACTATAACTAGTCTGTAGTAGTGTAAAAACAAGGGAATAAGTAATATTACCTCCTTGTAGTTTTAAAGATGTTCTTTGCTTAAGAAGGTAGGGCCTTACACATGTACCACAAATAAAAGTATCCATGCTGTATATTTGGTGTAGACTGACAGCTTTCATGAAGCCTAGTTTAAAACATGCAGAATTTCATGATTGTTCCTTAAGTGTACTTCTGAACCCACTATGTGCTGTGACTATTAAACAGTAAATTCACTGGCCAATTTGCTTAAGAAATTTCCAGCAGTGATGGGGAGGAGAGGAGAGAGAGTAAACAAAGAGAGAAAAGCCTCTGAACTCAATAGCTCTATATTAGGCATTGTTGTCCTAAAAATAGAATCACTTGGGTGGTTGTTGTTTTCTGTAGTCATTGCTACACCTTAGTAGCCGTTGGAGCTCCAGCATTTGAATTCAGCAACTAAATTACTCAGTAGGTGTGCGTGATCATAGAATCACAGGATATCCTGAGTTGGAAGGGACGGACAAGGGTCTTTGAGCCCAACTCCTTGTTCTACACAGGACTACCTATAAATCATTACCATGTGTCTGAGAGCGTTGTCCAAATGCTGCTTGGACTCTGGCATGCCCAGTGCCATGACCACTTCCCTGGGGAACCTGTCCCAGTGCCCGACAACCCTCTCAGTAAAAAACCTTTGCCTGGCATCCAAACTGAACCTCTCCTGATGCAGATTCATGCCGTTCCTTAGGACCCTATCACTGGCCGCCAGACCGCTTCCACGAGGCTGCTTTTCAGCCTCTCATCCCCCAGACTGTACATACATGTATATACAGAAATGCCCTGTCCCAGGGCAGATTCTGGCACATTCTCCTGTTAAATTTCACACAGTTGGTGATTGCCCTGCCCTCTAGTATGTCAAGATCTCTCAACTTCATGGGAGACATTCTCGTTGACCTAAAAGTGTTTGCTAAGTATGGCATTTATCTACTAAAAGAAATACTGCAATCCTACGTATTGTTATAAAACACTCACTTCCAAGGTAATCTTTCAGATGTTGACATCTCTCTTTTCCAGCGTCAATGCTTTAGCTTGTGAGCAGAAAGATGAAATAATGACACAGATCCAATCAATTAGACGACTGATGAAAGAAAGTGGATTGGATAAATCAGAAAACAAGATGACAGGTACTTGAATTTTCAGTAGCATAGGTACCCAAGTAGTTTATATTTTAAAAGAATAAACAGATCTTTCTGTAATAATGTTCAGCTCCTGTATCTTTGGTTAAGTGTGCATGGAATTAATTTATTCCCTGAGGTATACCTTTCTTCCTGATTGAAGTATATCTGATACCACGTCTTGAAGTATTGTTTTTGTTTGTTTGTTTTGTAAGAATAAGCGCTAAAGTACATTGAACTAGGTCAAAGAGCAGTCACATTTTGTTAAAACATGTTTCTTGAATGTGAGTTCCTGAGCCGTCTGTTAGTACTGGTCTAACTTCAGTCTGAGGATTCCCAAATGGGGACCTCTGGGGCTGTGGGCGATACTTGCATGATTGCGTTGAACAGTAAATTGTCTATTTGTTTCCTCTGGAGGCTTCCAAAAGACGAATAGAGTCCAAGACAAATCTTCAATGTTAAGAATGGTTCATTAGAAATTTGGGGAATTTCTGCATTAGTTGAGTTATTAAAAAAGAGAAAAACAGAAAACGAATATGCTGCTTCTAAGCTGCCTCTGAAACTTGGAATCTGTCCAGTAATTGAAACCTTTTTTTGTGCATTTTAAGATGTCAACCACATTTGTAATGAGAAACTTGAAGATCTCATTCAGTCATTTGCGGAACACCCTCAAGAGAAAGAACTAGATGACAGAGAAGATGATGGTAATGAAGATTTTCAGGAGGATGTTGATGATGATTACAAAATAGAAGAGCATGAATTATATGATGAGTGTGAAGTACACCGTTTTGAGCCAGATGTGGTAGAAGACCAAGAAATGATAAACAAAAACGTCATAGAATCAGAGATGGGATTGAGGAGACGTAATAGATATGAATGAAATCTGCATGTATAAAATTTACAAAAGCTAATGATTTTGTTTTTCCACAATGTTGTATGCACTTTAAACTGTTTCCAATGAAGCTCCATGCACTGCTATATGCTTTAAAAAGAGGGGTGAAAGCTGCCTGTATTCTTGTCTGTGATGGTTCCCTAAGTGTCATCAATGGCAGCAAAGTTTCACTGAGGATGTTTACGTATTTTTTCTATTTATTTTTTCCTATGAAAATATTTCTGTACTCTGTATATAATGCACTGTAATTATATCTGATGCTTCACTAAAATGTTGGAATATCTTGTAATTTAGACTAAAGAATAGGTGCTTTGTAAATGTTTTATAACTAGTGAGCTTAGTACCACTTGAACTGTGACTTGAGTTTATTAAAGAGCATGCACTGTTGAATTCAGCACTTTTTGGAAAACTTCTGGGGGTGGGGAGGAATGAAAACCAGTACACGTTAAGTCTTAGAGATGTGTTCGTAGACAAGTTTCTTTCTTTGGAGAGAAATTTAACAAATACTGTTAAAATAATTCTCATTTGTCTGTCTCCTCAGGAATGATGTATAGTTTTGTATGTCAATTGAAACCTTACTGCATTACGTTGGATAATTTTCTTTATTCCCCAGCCATCAGTGGTTAAACTTGGCAGCTGCCTAGTAATTGCTGATACCCATTAGCACTAGTGTCCCTGATTCATCTTTGTTTTAACACTGCAGAATCTGGCCTTCTGTTTCATTGTAATACACTTTTCTTACGACAGTACCAATATATGTATTACTACATATCATTCAAGAACTGTAGGGCTTGGGTGGTGTTTTTTTTTTTTTTTTTTTTTTTTGGGGGGGGGTGTTTTGTTTTATGTTAGTTTGATGGCGGCGTTTTTAGGTCAGTGTTTAGAAAAGCATTTTTTCTCCTTTGCAACAGTCAGTTCTGTCCAGACCTTAGTTATTTTCTATTATTTTTGTGTTCACTTAGCCCATGTGCCCATGAAACTGCCACCCTTCAATGCCAGGAATTACTGAAGAGGTAGGTTTGACTGTGGAATGCTGTTTTGTTGTTTGTTTTTAAATGCGTAGCTTTTAAGTACTACGGTATAATTCCTTAACTTTTTCCACTTTTTTTTTTCTTAAGGAAAATAAAGTGGATTTGTTTCTGTGGAGGAAGCAGGCTTTAATGAAAGGGACCAATACTTCTGGTGTTTCACTCCATGAAACTGACCGAATTGTTCATTTCTGCGTAGAAGCAGAGTATCTTTGCTTCTGAAAACAAACGAGGGGGTTGAAATTAATAGCCTCCAGCCATACATCTCCACCGCAGTCACTAGCTTTGCAATAAACGACAGCTTTTGCCTGGCTTTGGCAGCACCCCTGGCAAACAGCCCTCCGGGCCGGGCGGCCGGCACCGAGCTCCGCCGCCAGCCGGCACCGGGACCGGGGCGCAGGCGCGGGGCCGCCCTCAGCCCGCAGGGGAACGGCCGGGAGCGGGGCCGCCCTCAGCCCGGGGGGTGCGGGAGGAGAGGGGCCGAGCGCCCGGCCCGCCTGCCCTCCCCTCCCCTCGGCTCGGCTGCCTGCCTGGTAACGGGTGCTGGGGAGTTGAGTGCCCCGCAGAGGGTAGCAACGGGACCAGCCTTTGTTAATGGTGACTTGAAAACGACGGGCTCTGGGTGCCTCAGCCGGCGGGGTGGAGGGAAACGCAGCCCTCCCGGGGAGAGCACCGGGGAAAAATGTCGGTGTGGGGTGGCTGCGTGCCAGCGGGGCCTGCCCGCAGCACCTGGGCCAGGGCAGTAACACGGCTTCGCCTTCCCGAGGGGTAACAAACCCTAACGCTGCAACGGGAGGGGCCCAAAGAAGCACATGGGAAAGGGGGTAGGACTTGAGACGAAGAGGTAAATTGGACAAAGAATCTGGTAAAGCGTTAGCAAGGAAAAACTGAACTTAAGGAGTGGTGAAAAAGGGAACCTAGCAACGTTTGGGAGCTTGCTGATGAAAATACCCAAATTATCAGTGATGGAAACGTTGTCTCTAAAACAATTTTTTATTTACAGAAGTACTCCCATTGAAAGCATGCGAATTTCTAATACTCTTTTCTGTTTTCTAGTTTATTCTGAAGGCTGCTATTCAATTTGAATGGAGTTGAAAGTTGAAGGAGTTGCTGCATCCCCTCGACGGCAGGCTCAGCTGTCATCGAGGGGAAAAAAACGTAGTCAAGTATGTTAATGGAAGGCTTGCGGTTGTTCTCCATCCCTGCTTTGAATCGTTTACAAAACTTTAATCGTGGTTACAGTCATGTGTTTCTAGTTCAAGGCTTTTTAAAAATTCTGTAAAGAAGGAAACTTTTAGAGAAATTACTTTTGTCAGAAGGTGATAGTTTAGTATGACAAATCAGTATGACAGTTTCTCAAATAAAGGAAAGGATTGCAAAAAGAAACACACGTCCTAAAATAACCAATCTTCTGCATACATAGGTAGGATGCAGGTAACTCAAGAACAAACTAGGGTGTTCAATAGAGACTTTTTGTGCTTTTTCAGATTCCTGCTGAAACTAGCAACAGGTGTGACTGCTTTTTTGGAAAACAAAAACGTAATAAAGTAAAGCAACCCCCAAAACATAATTTCAGAAGGCATCATTTCAAACTGTCACAGTGTGAAATAAATTGCAGTGCTCATCACTCATTACAAAAGGGATTTTTTTTCAGGTAACAGCCAACATTTTGAGATAAGATAGGCAGACAACACCCACAAGATTACTGTAGCAAAAACTCAGACTACCTTTTGAAAGCCTGGTTAGTACAAATATGACCTTGGATTATGAGAGCCATTGGTTTTATTATAGCTAAGGTAAATATTAATATTTTTATAACAATTGTTTTTTTCCCATAGATACTGAATTGTTTATGCCCATGAAATAAACTTCTGTAATATTCCCTCAGCCTGCAAGCACTATGTCCTTCACCTAGTAAATATGGACAGTCTTCAGGATGATTTTGTTTGCTTTCTTCCTGATTTGATGACTTCCAGGAGAGGAATTTACAAAGACTAAAATATTAACATTAAAATCGAGAATATAGTGTGTTCTTTTCCTTAAGGCAGTTGAAAAAAAAATAAGAAAAATGTGTACTTGTGATTTAATGCATTGAAAAAATACATGTGACTTGGTGCACTGTGTATGCATAGAAAGCAAGACTTTGGTTAGTTTAGTCTAAGGAATAAGAGTAAATTGCACTTATTTCTTAAAAGCTTTTCACATATTTGACCACATGGTGGTGCTGCTTATTATTTGCAACCTGCCTGAAGAGATGCTTCTTCTGAATACCCTTTTCTGAAGGCACAAGGGGGTGGTGTTGCTCAGCTCTGAACCTGTTTTTTTCAGGAATATGCTACAAGGATTTGTGGGGAAGAAAGCAGTTAGAGTACTGTGGCAGCTCTCAAATCATGAAAGGTATTAGGCCGCAGCTGGAAACAGGATATCTGCGCAGTTCAGACTGTCATTGAGATCTCAGTGCTGTTAAAAAAAAAAAAAAAAAAGTTAAAAACCAAGATGCTAGCAGGACATGCACAAAGCACAGTTTCTTTCCTGACTGGAAAGCTAGTTGGGGGAATGGTTATAATATGCTAACTCCGGTCATACAGTCGTCTCTAGGGATTTGCTGTTGGCTGTTTTCAGAAATGCAATAGTGAGGGAGATGAAGCTTTCACTCAAGTCTTCCTCTCCCCATGTTCTTGCCTAGTTGAGTTTGAAGATCCATGTCGGTCGTGCAAAATTAGTAGTGTGAGTACAGAGGCTGCCTAGGCACCATCATGTGCTGTTGCACTAAAGCTGAGAAGACAGAGCTATACCAAATACCTGTGCAGTTTTGGGGTCTGCGCTACCACCGTGTGAGCCAGCTGATCGTCTGTACTGTGGTTTTGGTTTATGGGCTGGCTGAGGGGTTGTTTAAGAAATGTCCCAACCAATTAGGACCACATGACCTGGTGAAAAGTGATTATACAATCAAAATCCCAAGAACACGAATTATTTTTAATGTATTGTTGATAGCTGGCACAGACAGTATCTGGATTCTTAATGACTAGAAATTTTTGTCTTGATGAATATTGAATCTTCTTGTCTCATGATCTGTAACAATCAACTTTCATTGTAAATTTTTTGTTTTGCACTTTCCTTAGTGGCATCTCAGTGGCATCAAGGATAGATATTTTGAGGCAATGTTTCTGAATGTTCCAAGGGAAGCTGAAAGGGAGAGCTATGTATTTTAATCCTGATCCTTGTCAGCATGTAATAATACTGTGTCCTTTTAGGGGTGGAGACCAGATACACGGGCTTCTCGTGGTCCTCGCCCACCAGAGTAAGTCTGCTTCTAGTTTTCATCTGACTTTTTTAATTGCATTATTAGCATCCTGCATATGCATGTATTGGTGTGTAAATTACTGTTGCATGAAATTTATCATCTTAGGTTTGTTCTCTATTAATTATATTTAAAGTTCTTGATTATGCATTTATGTTAGTGAAGTGCCTTAAAGCCAGTATATCTTTCTACATTATTTTGCAAGTATGTGTCACCATGACCTTGGATTGTTCATATCTTCCTCAAAGAAGTTCAATTTCTACACATTGTCAGTCATTCTGCAATAAAAAATGACTGGGAATTAAAGAGCTCTTTTATTTGAAGAAGCAATCTTGTTATAAAAGGTTTGTTTGGAAATACTGGCAGTAAAATGCAAAAATGAATGCAGTTGTGGTGCTCCAGAGTATAGCTAAAGTGAAGACATAAGGCTCAGAGATGCATTAATAATTTGGAGATGTTTTCATTTCTTTAAGCAAAATGAAATACTGAAGTATTGTTTACTTCACTGCATAGTTGGCTTCCATTGTATTAATCTTGTCCAAATAATTTGAAAGGTTTGCATCCCAAGGAGCTATTTGTTCGCTGTTGGCTCTCTGGTGACTAATTATAGAGGGATGTTGCCACAGACCTGCTGTGGAAGACAGGGATAAAGAGTCCTTGATTTATGATTTTGTTGCAGCAGCTCCTGGTGGGGAGTGAAGAGGAGCCAGGATGGCTTTGCTGGACTGTCTGAGGCTGGGAGTGAAGAAGGGTCATGCTGCTGGTGTACTCAGCAGCTGGGAAAAAGGAAAAGCTCAGTGTCCAGTTCCTGAGGTGTTGTAAGAGGGACTAATAGGCATTTCCAAAGTAGGCTGTTTCCAGTTGTAATGAAACCCTGTTCAGAGTAGGGAAACTTTTGTGAAGGAGCTAATACATATATATAATATAACAACTATAATAATGTACATGATATAATAACTAGTAGGCAGCTTGCTTTTACTGTAATTGAAAAATAAGAGAACATACAGCTCTTAAAATGATTTTAACTTCCTGCAGGGTGCCATGCCTAGATCTAAGGAGGCTGGGAGATTCTGATGAAGAGGTAATTATAAATCAGTTTTGTCTTGAATAGTTTTCAGAGTTCATGTGTCACAGGAGTTTATAAAAATATGACACCAAATATAAAACAATTATGATTACTATCATTTTTAATTTTAGGATGGGAACTCTTACATACCGTACAGTAGGGATTGTCCTCATACTTGCCCTCTAGATTCATCTCCAGACTGGAGAACATCATTACAAATGCCACCTGCGCAGCATCTCCCATCTCAACAGGTAGGTCTGTCACTACAAATCTTTTCAAAATTTGCCCCTTTAGTAGTAATTTAGAAAAATATCTTTAGCATTTTCATAAAAGCTCCTCTTTTTTTTAGATTAAATTCTCATCTAATGCTATTGGTTCAAAATACTTTTGGCAAAATACTTTTTACTGAGAAGCCTAGAATATTTCAAAAATCCAGTTTCTTTACTCTTCTTCATTGGTAGATGCATTCATTCTTTGCATTGTACTCAATTTTAAGGAATATTTTAATAACTAACTTTATTTACTATTCGTCAAAGCAACTGAAAAACTTAATACTTTTGAGATAGGTAAACAAAAGTTCCCCACTTTCTAAACAAAGTGTAACTTACAAAAATAATAAAGATCAATCGTGGTCATTAAGCATACAATTGAAGAAAAAAAAAACTAGGTTTGCAAAGAGTGAGTATTAATTTTGTGGAAGAATAGTTACTTTTGGTGAAAAGGAAACTTTGAAGTTAAATGCAACCATTCTTAGAGTTTTGTTTAGTCTCTTGTCCTTAAAACACAACTGTGATTTTGACTTCGGAATTATGTTTGGAATTATGTTTAACATATTTATGTTAATATAACATATTAACAGTTTTATTTTTAAAATTTCCTGAACACGTACCAACGTTTTTAGTCCTGGATGACTAAGAAACTTAATTGCCACCAGGCTTAGATACTTTGTAAGGGAAATCAGTAGTCCAGATGTTAATATTCTGATTTATAGATTTATAGCACTGTTCAGGATTCAATATCCAGTATAATAAATTTAAGAATTAATTTAATTACTTGGTTATTACAATTGTTCCCTGAATGTAAGAAGAGTTTTCCTTTGAACTTTTATGTCTGAATTAAGTTTGGAAAAAAGGAATTTGACAATGTTTTATTTGTCTATTCACACAGAGGAGATTTTGCTAATTACTATTTAATTGCTCTTTTAAACAGATTTCTAGAAGGCCCTGTCAGAAGAAAACAGAGGTAAAGTAGCTGAAAAAATATACACTGACAAAATTAGCAACTGAATAGCAGAGTACGGTGGTATATGGTCTCAAAGTGAAATATGTTTTAACTTCTTTTGTGTAAGAGGAACTAGTTAATTTAAGAGACTTTTTAATCTGTCTGTTTTAATCTGGCTTTTTAATTTGAGAGATCAGATATTCCTGAATTAGTTTAAAAATTTTAGATAGTACTGCCAACATAATTTTCTGTCATAGTCATAATCTTTTTAACATGTTACCATACATTTTTATTTGGCTAGGATGCAGGAAATATCCTAACTTATCAATGTTTCTAATTGATGGAAGAATTGGAAAATACAATGCTTAGGATTACAGTATTTCAAAAAAGAAATTAAGTAAACCTAAGAAATACTGAATGAGTTTGTCTAGAACAGCAGTGTTGCCAGAGGGAAAACAGTTATAAATTCAATTACATATAATCTGTACCCCTTGAAGCAAATAATATATTGACCTTTATGGCAGGACTATGAACCAGCTAGAGCTATTAAGGTGAACGTGACAGGATCATCCTTTTATATGTTTCCCTATATGACCAAATGTTTTCTCAGCTTGAAACAGAATAAAATGTATTTAAATAAAAGCTGAAGTATTTATTTTTTTTAATAGAGAAAATGTAGAGCAATGAGGTAGAATAGCGAAGAATTAAGTTTTTGTGCTTAATGTGCTTAATCCCTGCACATTGTGTCTTGCATCTTTACACATGGATGCTGTAAAGTCAAAGACTTTCTGAGTTGCTGCATACTCAGAGGTGGGGGGAAAGAGGTTTCCTTACCCCTGCTGAATGCAAACGACCTGAGCCTTGCAGTTTCTCAGTATGAGCTATAGCCTCTGATCTGAATGTGTGCTGCCATGCCTCCCTGTCCTCCACACCTTGTACTCTGTAGAAGTGTCTCCTAAGAGTCTCCTTCCTGATCAGTCTTGGTATCTCCTCCAGGGAAGGCATGGTGTCCTCTTTTTTCCTCTTTTTTTTTTTTCTTTCCCTCCTTCAGGTTGCTTCACTTCTTCCAGTGTTACAGAAGGTAATTAGTAAGATTGTGAATAAAAGCTGTAAAGTACAAAACATCCATCACAAGGACAAATAGAAGTAGCTTTCTGAAAAGGTGATTTGAACATAATTACTTTGCTGCAGCTTCTCACCTGTTCATTTGTATTGTTTAAACTTCTCCATACTACCAGAAGCGTAACATTTTTATTGTTTCTTAGAGTTCCAACATAATGAGAACATACCAACTCATGTTCATTAATTTAGGCTGTCTGTATGGATTGTACAACCAGAGAGTACTGGACTAGTAGTGCAGTAGTTCTCAGAATATCTACATACCCAATGTAGGTATTTATACACATCTTAAAATACAACTGTAGATGTTTAACCGCAGATGGCTATTTTTCCTCTGTATGGCATTATAAGTGCAGTGTGTATGTATTTGAGTTGCTATACTCTTCTCAGCTCTGGATGCCTATAATTTCACATCTTGTTATACCTTTTTTTTTAAAAAAAATATTAAGTTCATACATATAAATCTGTCTAGATGCAGGAGTGTTAACAAAAGGTTGTTAAGGCTTTGACTGTTTCAAGGTCTTTCGTTCTCTGCTTTCCTTTATCTCGTCTACTTCCTGCCTTCATTATGTTTTAAATACTTTAGTGCTAAATTTGCAGTAATGCATCTTCTGTTCATTTACCCTCTTTTTGCCATCTCTCTTGTCTCTCTTTTTTTTTTTTTTCTTGACTTGACTTTTACTTTTGGGGAGAAGATTTTCTGAAATGTTTTAATATATTCCTCTGAGTGGTCTTTATTTCTGCGTTGCTTGCTTCTGGGCCCTGACTGAGCAGTTTCTTTAGCAAGATATATTCCGACTTCCTTGATAACAGACTACATAAGTAAATCTTCCCAAAATAGGTCACTTTTGGAGGAATAATTTGAATATTGTCTTATCATTCAGGAATTAACCAGTGAAGGGATGTAGATCCTCTTTTGAAAGAGAAGGCTGCCCTTTCAAGAACATAAATCTTCTGTTTTTTTTTGAAAAATGATTTTTGAATACAGGACTGTTCACTGCTGCTTCAAGATGAGATGTGCCAAGCAGAGATGCTAGATAAGATCATCTTATTTTTTTTTAGCATTGAAGGGATATCACGTAAACGTTGAAAGTGTTATCTGGGGAGAGAAAGAAGAATGGAGTCCTGGGCTTCTCACACTGATGTTGTTCCTACTGCATAGAGCACTGGAAGGAACATAAAGTTAGGAAGGTACTTAGTTGGCTTCACAGCCTTTCTGACTGGTGTTGTAGGGAAGGTAATGTAGGGACTAATACTCATCTGCCATCCAAACTCATTAGAAACTGTGACTGGAAAAAAAACTCATTAGCCCATTTTCAGCCATCCAAAATCAAATGTGAGAATTCCTGTTTTAGTCATCTGTAGCATTTTCTCATAGAACAGCACCACAGGGTCTTGACTTTGTGTAAAGTTATTTGGCTGTGTACTACTTAGATTACCCCCCCCAAAAAAAAACAAACAAAAAAAAAACAGAATGTGAAGAACTCCATGAAAATGAAGCCTGAATGTGCAGTCATATTTGCATTTTTTCTGTAATATGAAGCACAGTTGTCAAGTAGTTTCATAGGTTTTAGTGTATATGAATTATAAAAATGGTGTTCTCCTTCAATATATCAACCAGAGGCATTTATATCGATTGTTCTTTGCTCTAGCATTCTGTTTTAGAGCAGAAGATAATACCAGAAGATCTGCCATCCCCAACAGACAAATATAAATTGAAGTATCGTCAGTATGAAGCAGATGTGAAGGAAGAATATAAGCAGTATTCTGAGAGAATTGCAGAAAAGAAAAAAGGCCCCCAACAGTGTCCAGAAACTTCAATAAAGGTAGCTGGCAAAGTAAAAATTGCATTTTTAAGTAGTAAATTTGAGTGGGTATTTCATTACAGTGTGTAGAGTGACTTGCATGTGCGTGTAAATAACTTCTTTCATGTACTTATTGTAAAGACATTTCCCTGTATGGTTTCAACATTTAATGTTGAGTAGGATATAAAATAAGAAAGTTTGCTTCAGTTCCTCTAGAACAAGAAACTGGTACTCTGAGAAACAAAAGTGTGCTTTTGTTTTCTGGTAAGAGATGTAACATTTGCCCTTATAGTGTACATCTATCCTAAGTGTCAATATTAGTGTAATTGATAGGAATAAGTTTTCTGCTGAAGACGATGAGAGTAAAAAGAACTTGATAAAATGTTATTTCCAAATACAGAGATGCGTTCCATCTTATTTATTTTTTAATATTATGTTAAATTATGATTGTACCTAAGATTTAGAAAAGAAGGGGTGAAATATGCGGTCTGTACCTTTGAAAGCTCCTAACACTGAAAATAGAAAGAATTTTTTAAAATAATGGAAGATAATATCTGTATTTTTTGCTTTGGCCTTTCTTAAGATCCAGTACAGCTAGTCTGCAAAGTTGGACTGCAAGCTGTATTGATTCTTCCATTTTTTTTTTTTTGTTTATTTTTAAATTAAGACTAAGGTGCAAACAAGGGAAGATCAGTGGAGGAAAAATGTGAAAACAAAGATGGGAAAAACTGACCTGTTCTGGAAGAGAGAGTAGAGAAAATTGTCTGCACAGAGCAAAATATGTCATTTCAGATGTAAAGAGGTCAAAGAGAAAAGGTTTCTAGCAAGGAACAGGAAACAAAAGTGAGCAACATCTGTGAGGACTGGTCAAATGCTAGACTGTGCTGAGGGTGGATGACCACTTAGGGATCTTAATGAAAGGCAAAATATGCAGATGCTGAGCTTCCTTAAGCACATACTGTATATATTGCTTTTCAGATAAAAAGTTTGTGATAAATGGCAACGAGATTACTTATTTACTTGCTTAATGCTCAGTGTAATAAAGAGGGACAGTTTTACAGAAGACAAAGATTTATGGCTGTGTGGACTGAGGTCTCTTTTGCACATATTATTTATACTTCTAAAGGGATGTTGTCCCATTAGAGCCACTCTTCTAAAACTCGGACAAAATTTGGAGAACGTAGAAGTAGAAGATTCTATAGGTAAAAGAACTGAGTGAAGGAAACAATTCTGTTGTCTTCTTAAGTTTATGTTTGTTTCATGGCAGTGAAGAATACCATTTTCGGTGTTTTGTTGTAGTTTTACTTTTGCTTTTAATGTTTTCACTCTTACGCACTGATCTGGCACAATCATGCCATGTTTTCCAAGATGTGAATCCTTTGTGTTGTACTGCAAGCCCATCAGAAGGGTATTTACAGGAGTAGTCAAGTTAGTCTGAAACTGAATAAATAGGTAGCAAACTGTATTGGATTTACATAGTAGGGGGCTGCAGGAGTGGCCTCTGTGAGCAGATCCCAGGAGCTGCCCCATGTCAGAGCAGAGCCAGCTCCAAAAGGGTCCCGCCACTGGCCAGAGCCAAGCCATGGAGCGATGCTGGTTGGGCCTCTGGGAGGGCACAGTTAAGAAAGGGGTAAAAAAAAAAAAAAAAAACCAAACAACTGCACAATAGCCTTGGGGAGAGAGGAGTAAGAAGCAGCCCTGCAGCCCCCAAGGTCAGTGCAGCAGGAGGGCAGGAGATGCTCCAAGCACGCAGCAGCAGTTCCCCTGCGGCCTGTGGAGAGGCCCCTGGTGGAGCAGGCTGTCCCCCTGCAGCCCATGGGTCCCACACGGAGCAGATCTCCACACTGCAGCCCCCCCATGGGTGGAGGAGCCCCTGGTGGAGCAGGTGGATGTGGCCTGGAGGAGGCTGTGGCCCATGGAGAGCCCCCGCAGGAGCAGGCCCCGGGCTGGAGCTGCAGCCCGTGGAGAGGAGCCCACGCAGGAGCAGGGGTCTGGGGGGAGCTGCCACCCATAGGGGACCCGTGCTGGAGCAATTTGCTCCTGGGGGATGGACCCCGTGGGATAGAGCCATGTGGGAACAGTGCTTGAAGAGCGACCATGAAGAAGCAGCGGAGACAGTGTTAGGGACTGACCACAGCCCCTAGTCCCTGGTCCCCTGCACTGTTCAGGGGGAGGGGTTAGAAGAAGGTGGATGGGAGGAAGGGATTTTTAATTTGCTTTTAGTTTCTCACTGTGATAGCCTGCTAGTGGTAAACAATAAATTATGTTTGTCTCCCTGTGCTGAGTCGTGTTTTGCTCATGATGATAATTGTTGAGTAATCCTTCTGACCTCTTCTCAACCCTTCAGCCCTAATTTATCAGTCCTAACATCTCATCCCTATCCATCATATTTTCTCTCCCTTTTCCTTCGGGGAGGGTGAGTGAGAGAATGGTTGTGGTAGAGTTCAGTTGCCCAACAGGGTAAAACCAACACAAGCATAAACTGCGAGAGAAAAGGCAGAATTGGTGCATTCCTAGTGCTTTTGGTTTCCAGAAAGATGCATGCTGAGTGCTAGAAGCTGTGCATGTCAGTTTTTGTGACAGATTTAAATATATCTAACAAAGACTATTCTGCTAGACATTATTGCTATCTGATTAAATAATAAATTTCAATAGATTTCAAGATATTTATCATCTGATTTGTGGGATTTGCAATAAATTCTCTGAAAAGAAGCTGCTCCTAGAGCAGAATAGGTAATGAAACCTACAGTACTGATTTGTGTCCCATGTTTCCTCCTTCCCAGCTTCTGTAAATGCAGTCTCCTTTGTTCATACAGTCTCCTTGCTCATATCCCCCATGTGGGAAATATTTCTGTAATATATTCAGACTGATTTACAAGTCTCTTAGACCCAGTTCAGCAATATACTTCAGCTGTTCCTTATCCAGCCTTTATTTAACTTCTTTGCTGGTCAAGAAATGGCACTTTTGTGATGGTGAACTTTGCATGTGATGGCAAATCTGCTGCTTTCTCTTGGCTGTTCTTGAATGCAACAGAGAAAGAATGAGCTCTTTTCTTCAGTGAGGTACTAACAGTCTACCATCTATGACTTGCTAATGGTTTTTCACAAAGCATTGGTACTTTGGACCAAGGTACTTCTGATTTTTTATTTATTTATTTTTTTAATATGGTTGATAGTTGTTGTTAAGGGCTCAAAAGCTTTAAGGCAAGACTTGAGAGCAAGATTTATAAGTTCAATTTTCATAGAAATCTTGGCTTAAAATGTCTTTACTTTTTCTAATTGGCATGAAGAAGGAGAAAGACTTTTTCAAATAAACAACCCTTTTTAATAAATTGTTGAGGAAAATTGTTTTTAATAATTAAACTTGATTTCTGAAAATAACTGTGTTTTTGTATAGGGTACACAGCTCAAAGTTGGGCACAAGGACGATCTTACAGCTCTTGATGAGAAAGCTCTTCTGCAACAATGCTACACAAGCAAGCCCTACAATATGCAGCATGGTGTGAGAAAATCAGAAGCTGTAAGTGTTTTAGCTGGTATTAGGCTGTTAACTTTCTAGACTTGCAGAATGACTTCCCAGATGTTCAATGGAAGTTAGACTTTTGATGATTTGGTCCTAGTCTGTAATTGCAACCATGGGGGTTTGAACATCTATTTTAGTGGGAGTTGAACTGAGCAATCCAGTGAGCAATTTTTTAATCTTATTTGCAATGCTTGTATTTTATGCAGTAATATGTATAAATAAGAATGCAAATTAAATATAAATAAATACAGCTAAGCAGATCAACTGAGTGACTCGTGAAACTGACCATACTGTTCTATTTCTTCTTGTCTGTAGCTCCTACCTGAGCCTGCATTCCACAATTCATGGATTTCATGATTGCATCAGCTTTTACTCTGACTAGTTTCTAGCGTAAATAAGCTGTTTTCCGTTGTTATCTCTTGAAATGGAGTATGTGATGAGACCCCGCTTCATAAGCAATATGGGCTCTGCTGCTAGTATTAGATCAGGTCAGCTATGGCTTTGGCTGAATCTTCAAGATCCAAGGATGGAGTTCTACAGCATTTCTAAGCAACGTATTCCTTTGCTGTGTTACTCTGCCTTGTGAAGATGTTCTTCCTATTACCCTTACCAAGCCTCCCATGGCTCCATTTGTGACATTGACCTCCTTTTATAATGTTGGCCACTGTTGCAAAAGTAAAAAATAAACAACAACAACAAAAAACCCTTTGTAACTGTCTCTTGGTTTTAGGAAGCTTTTAGAACACTTTATAGCTGCTTCCTCTGCAAAGTAAACAAAGCCAAACTCCTTTAGCCTCTCCTTTCAATTGCTTCATCTCCAATGCTCTGTTAGTTCCCCTCTGATTTCCTCTTATCCTATTGATTCTGGGGGAGAGAGAGGCCCCCAGAGTGGAAACAGACATGGCTTCACTATAATAAACTTACTTATACCCAGTAAGTTTCTTAATTTCTTACATACAGAGAGATTTTTACTCTCTTTAGGACTGTGCAAAAGGAGTATTGTACATTTAAGGCTAAATCTTGATTTTGGGATTATTTACAGTGATGAAGAACCTTGAGACTTGGTACTCTGTGCTTCACTATTTGCATATGCAGAGTGATGTCTTTCATAAGTGAATTTTGTACGTATTGCTGAGCAGAGTTAGCATTCTAACATTCTGATGGAATACTAAGCCATAACAAATTTTATGAGACTATAAAAGTAAATATTTTTTCATTTATTTTGTTTGCTCATCATTATGCACTGAAGTTCACCTTGCAAACATCTATTTGATTTCTAATCTCGTTAAAGTGGGACTTGTCTCATATAAAATCTAATTATTTGCTTAATAATAGTGAATGTTGCACTATTGAGGCTACTGATCATTTTCACGATCAGAAAATCTTTTTGGAAAGTAGTCTTATGAAGAACTTCCCGTTCATTATTTTTAGAATTATTTTAAAGATCTGTATTGTTGGGTGAGGCTAGTGGGGCAAACTGTTTTGAAGTATCATTAGAGTAACTACTTAATGCTAAATCAAATACCGTGAAAAGACTGAGAAAAGGAGCAGTGCCCAACCACAAATGACAGGTACACTGCAGCTGGCATGTTTTAAAAGGAAAGCCAGCAGGTGTCCCAGCAATGTGTCACAGGGACCTTTAGAAATCCTTCTGTTACTGATTAGTACTCATGGTTGCACAGGCTGTCTCTCTCTTTCTAGGAGCCTCTCCAGGGTTCTCTCAGGTTCAAGATTCTGACAGAAGTAGGAATAACGGAAAAATCAGAAGTAACTACTCCTTATTATAATAATGCAATTGGATATATGTTGTCTCAATTATACGCATTTGATTTTAAAGTGCTTTAAAAATTTGCTTAAGATGACAATATTTTTAACATTTCCTTTTACTGTAATCATTGCTAAAACCTCTAACATTAAAACACATTTTCTTTTAAATTTTCTTTAGCTTGGGTAGAGAATTGTCTTATCCAAGATGGATTGCAGTAAATGTATGATAGCCAAAGAACACTATATATGATAAAAATATTTTTGTAAGGTTTGTTTTCTATAAATAATTCTTTTGTGGACAAAAGAGTTGCATCTTATTAAACATCGAGAGTTGCTGTAAGCTCAATGTCTACCTCAGCAGTTATGTAAATTCGTAGTAGAGATTTTGTCCAAGAGGTGAATGGAAGATTTTCTTCTGAGAGTACATTTAGTGACCTTCTAGTATTCAACTGAAATACAAAGTTGAATTTTCAAAATCAGTTTTTATCATGCTAGCTGTTTTAGATCTATAAGAGCAATCCTTGGAATACGTTGAGTTTTAAGAAACGCTGCTGTGCATTATCACTGTGTCTTCCTTTACATAATGCTTCTTAATGTCAGAGCTTCAGTAATTTGGAATACCAGTAGATCTGTTAGTTAGATGCAAAAATGAAATATGAAAGCAAAATAAAAAGTCCCCAAGTCTGCTACAATTTAGAAATCTTTTAAGGCTTAAAATCAGTATAAACACCTGTTGGTCTGGTGTTAAATTTTTCATTGTTTTTGGCTAATGCTAATCAGTATTTACCTGAAGATTTGTGAACAATACCCATAGCATCTCTGGGGATTTATGGATTATCCATTAGTTACATTCTGTTTTGGAACCAACTTTTAATTCTTCTTCAGCCATGGGAAGACTTGATGTATCTAGAATTTGGTTGGTGTGTGATAATCTATGCGGGGGGAAAAAATAATCATAAAAATATCTTAATTCTTCAGATTCAGAATAGCTAACAAGTCATCAAAGAGGTTGTCTAAACCCCTCAGAAACAATCTCTATTTTCTCAAAAATAAAGTTGGGGGAAGAAAAAGGAAATGTAAGTGTGGTGAAAAAGTTTGGAGATTTGGAGGATGAAGTGAGATGGGGGGCATAATGGTTGCCAGTGGCCTCTGTTCTGACCTTCAGCATCCTCTTGTGCCTTGGGTTTTTTTTCTATGAAACCAATGATGATCAACAACCAAGCACTTTACGGTGAATGGCACAAAGTTATGCTTGGCTGTTACTCTAAAGTAAAAATGGCTGTAAGATCCTGTTAAATCTCCTAATCTCCTGCCCCCTTAGGATGATCTCTCTTTTATAAGGAAAGGGTTTTCAGGTTGGTCTGTTTCAGTAGAACATTATTCTGGCATGCAGCAAATAGAAATTGAGCGCTGAGACTAAACTTTTAACATTAATAAACGTATCCTTATTTATTTATTTATTACCAGCTATTGCTGGAGTCTCATTCTTTCAGTGGGAATCTGTGTCAACCATGGTACTTGGAATAGTGTGAAATTCCTCAGGCTGTAACGTACTTAGAAAATTTATTGGAAATAAAAGATAAGGAAAGCTGTCTGTCAGCAGAAATACTAGAAATCTCATATTTATTGACATCTAATATGCATAGACAAGTTGAGTGTGTAGCAGAGAATATTATTTGTCATGCAAATAGGACTCTAATTGAAAAGATGAAGAAAACCCTTGAAAATTCCAAATTAATTGTGACATTTGTAAGATTGTGATCTCTATACACTGTCCTAAGAGCTCTTTTAGTATTTGATGTGCTTGTTAAATTTCATTTTCTCTCAGTCAGTTTTTCTTTACAGGAGGATGTTGCTGCAGAGCGGAGAAAACAGGCTGTGGTAGAACAAGTGATGGTGGATCAGTTATCCAGGTAAGTGAATTTACAACGTTAAACTACAGTGTTCCCTACAGAAGAGTTTAGGTCAGTGAGTGTTTGACTTCTCTTGCTTGGAAGATGTTTTGATGACCTCATTGTAACTCTTATGTAGTCTTACATAGTGCTATTTCTAAAATTCCTTTAAGTGAAAAACCTTTTTAATCTAAAATCACTTTCAAGTGCTATGTTTAAGTTCATTTTTCTTCTGAGAAGAAGTGTTGATTTTACATCTGAATCTAATTTATGGGTTTTACAGTAACAGTACTTTTCAGAAATAACCTTCTTTTACATCTGCAAAATATATGGATACCTGTTGTTACAAATTACATATCTTTAGTATTTATTTCCTGTTCTAAGGCTGTCACCTTTACTAAAATACCTTTATTAATATCAGCACAACATCTCTCTGCAGTAAAGGAGTTATTATATGAGTGTTAATCAGGAAGGAAAAAAAAAAAAGGAGCAGATTAATCAAGTTGACCTAGGTTGTACAGGAAAGCTCTCCTAACTTCATTGCTATGAAGTTAGCCTTTACCTCCAAGAAAGCATTGTTTCTATTTACAAAGATCCCATCGTAGGTTAAGGAGGAGAAAAAAAAAAGTCATGAATAGGTAAAGATGAGTATATTAAAATTATTTTTCTTATTATTGTTCCATAAACTTGTTCTGAACAAAGACAAGTGCAAGGTCCTGCATCTGGGTCAGGGCAATCCCAAGCATAAATGTAGGCTGGGCAGAGAACAAATTGAGAGCAGCCCTGAGGAGAAGGACCTGGGGGTGTCGGTTGATGAGAAGCTCGACATGAGCCAGCAATGTGTGATTGCAGCCCAGAAAGCCAAATGTATCTTTAAGTACAGAAATCACTGATTAAAACAAAGCAAACAACAACTAAGAAATGCTTGTCCCGTATCATATCTTTACAATGATGTAGTTAGAGCTGATGATTACAGAGATTGTGTTAAAAAGATGCTAGTTGTGTTGAAGATGTTTCAGTGCTGCTGGTGTTGGATTGGTTTTATGCATCTTGGATCATAGATGGTCATTCCATTCTTAACCTTCTTCAGCTGCTTCTCCTTATTTTTGCATGTATCCGTGCATCTCCTGCTCTGTTGACAAAGTCAAAACAATATCCAGTAGTGCTGCAGCTGCATCAAGATGAACTTTTAATTGAAAAAATCTCTGTTTATTTTCCAAATATAACTGTGCCAGTGCTGCCAAACAAATTGGTATCAGATAGCAGGATGTTAATCGGGAAAGATTAGTTCAAAACTGTCACATGGAAAATCTATTAAAGGAAACACAAAAGGTTTTTTGATTGTTTTAATAGAACCAATCTTGCAGTTAAATTATTATAACTGATGTGTGCAAAGTTGGATCTGCACAGATCAGAGAGAAAATTTATAAATTTACATTAGCTATGCAAAATTTTTTTTTCCTTCTGATTAATTATTTCAATAGCATGTATTTTAAGGGGTCTTCTCTTTTGTTTATTTGTTAAACTGATACTAAGATACTAAGATTAAACTGATACTGTTACTCAGCTGATTATCTTAATAATCAGTTTAATTCTTGATATTTTAATATCACTTCCATAATTCTAAGAAAATATACTTAAAATAATTTGCCTATCTGCAAAGTTATTACATAGTAGTGCACCACCAGACAGTTCTTTCATGTGTTTGATTTAGAGTAATGGATTTCAGAATTTGTAAAAACAAACACAAACAAACAAACAAACAAAAAAACCAACAACAACAAAAAAAACAAAACCTAAAAGAACAACCAACCAAATAAACAAGAAACCCTCCCTCAAATTTATGCAGGTGTAATGGCTAACTTCAATGTGTTATTATTGCATTATTCACATGGCATTTTTATTTATTTATTTAGTTTGTTTTTCTTCCTTGAGTAAGAATATGTTAAAACTGAAATTTAAACTTAGTGTTAGTCAGGGAGCTTCTCCCTGTTCTTTTTGGTCAGAGCTGTTATAAGTGACCCAGAACAATCCACACGCGCTGATGTTTCCAAGGAAGCTCATGGACTTCTGGGACTTGGGAACACACCCATGCGTTTTAGAAAAAGAACACTGCATGAAACAAAGTAAGTTTTCTCTAGTGGTCATTCTTTAGAAATATTTTTTGTTGTTGTTATTTTGGGCTCTGCAGTCTCTCTTTGCCTTTCCAGATGTTTTATTCCTCACTTGGAACAAACAATTTCATCTGACGTCTTATTGTTTGCCTCCCCCATTTCTATAATTGCCTAGTGGGACCTATTTGTGGATTCTCTGTGTATAATGATTCATAGTATTTATAAAACATGGAAGAACCATCTTAGGCTCATACTGATACTGTTCATCACAGGGTTTTCTCAGTCTGAGTTGGTTGAATCCTTGCAATGCTGATGTATCCTTTTAGAGATTCCCATCCTGAGGTGCTTAAAATTACATAAATATACATCTATAAATGCTTATGTAGATCTTAACAATGTAATCATACTTTTCCTTCATGTTTTGATTTCTGCTGAAAAATTGGCATTTAAATGTAATTTCTGAACTGTGAGCATTAAAACAGGAACTCCAACAGCTTAAGAAAAAATGAGAAAATATTTTGATTTTCAGCAATGCATGCTGAAAACAACATGATTCTGCAGTTCCTGTTTTTATTATGTTAATCTTACTCAACATGCAGGCAAATATCCCTGCTTTGTATGTTTTAACATGATCTTCTGAAGTCTTTTTCAACAAGCATCATCATTTTATTTAAAAGAAAAAAAAAGGCAAAAAAAAAACTGTTTCAAGAACAATCTCTCAGTCTCAATCTGCTATACTCATCACATGAACAAATCTCTGTTTTGGGAACCAGTTATAATCAATATAAAGTATCTAAGTGGGGAAAGAAGCCCCCAGATGGGTATTTTGCAAGAAAATTGATTGAGTGGTGTAAGCATGATGGTTGGTAGAGGTTTAATTCTTGACATAAGAGCATATAAACAAAATATCCCATTCATGTCTATGCTTTCTGTAGATGTAATCTCATATGATGTAATTACAGTGTGCTTTCCACATTGCAACTCAGAGTTGCTTTCTAATTCAACTACAAGAACCATATCCTCAGCCAGTTGCCAAGGATACCTGTACTTTACATTTTTTTTCACTGTTTTGAAATGGTTATTTTCATATGCACCATTGCTTTGTGAGCGTATAGATATCATTAATATGCTGCATTATTTTCACAGAATAAGGACCAAATCAGGATTGACTGAAAGTGTTCTCTCTAACAAGCTACGCTTTGATAGTAGGATTATATCAAGGTAATCACACATTCTGTAAAGCGTTTTAATTCTATGAGTTTATGAATGATAGTTGTTACCTTGTTGAAATATTTAATTGCACTGAATTTTTCCTTCTCTGTTACATGTGTAGAAAAAAAGTATATGCTATGCAGGTAGAGAGCATATAATACACCTGACATGGCTGATACAGTGGGTTTACCGTCCCATTGTACAGCATTAAGATACATAAGTAATGTTACCATCATGTCAGTCACGGCTCTGTGCAGGACAATTGGCACAGGGATGTAAAAGAGTGCTCTTCACCATTGCGTGTCACTTAATTGTAAATTCTTTTAGCCTTTTCTTAGTGTGTGGCAACCACTGTGGATTGAAAGGATGCCTTTATCTTTTTTGTAGCTCCTTACATACTAAGCTTACAAGCTGAGGGCATCTTTGTTCTGAATTGAGTAGTGGTGACATAAACATATTCTTCAGCTCTGGAGCAGCGGGCTGTATAGACATAGTCAAGGATTCAGCCCCATAGCTTCATCTACCATAAAGAATGCAGTAGTCCAGATTTACATCATCCTTTAGGGAATGAAAATTATATTGGCATACTAAAACATGAAGCTTTGAAAGACGTTCTTAATGTTATGGAACAGAATATTGCATGAAGATGTGTTCCCAAATCCAGAAGATGGATTCCAGAATGGTTTAGTGAAAATAGATGGCTCTTTCAAAGATAAAGATTGTGCAATATGCAAGATTGGATATAAAATGCATATTTCAAAATAGAAGTATTATTTGTGTTTAGGTTGAATTAGATTTGCGTAGATGCAAAAACATAAAGGTGCTTTTCAATTTTCCTTTTAGAAATGGTCGTGATGCCTGTAGAGAGTTGATTGGATTCTTTTTTGCATATGACCAATCTCTTACTGTGTATGAATTCCGGCAGTTTGGAAAAAACAGGTAGGTTAAGCTACTTTAAAAAAAAATAAATTATAAAACATCTTTCACTGTACTTATCAATCATAAATAAGTGTAATTGTTTTAAGATTAGTTTTGAATTATTTCACAGAACAAATGCCTTACCTTTCATTCAGAAGGGAATTTATCATCATCAGCGAGGACAAAAGAAGGGAAAAGCTTATGATCTTAGTGACTTCTATATTGTAAGTATTCTACTGAATGCAAGGCATTATTGGTGATTTGAAAATAAATATTTAGATATAATATTTAGATATTCAAACTGAAAACTTGTTATCTAGCATTTAGGGGAAGACTTCTGGTCTTCCCTTCAGTAATGTTGTTAAACTAAAAGTTTTTCAGAAGTCTGGATTATTTTGCTCTCCCATGATTTAGGGATTCCACTTTTGGCTTCAGTTTGTAGATTTTCCACTAGAGGGCACAGGACTGCAGACAATGTAGACCTTTTTGTAGCTAAAAATGACTATTTGGGAAGGAGAGTTCTGAAGTAGAAGACCTAAGTACTTCTTAAAAAAGTAATGATCTTTGTGAGGTTTGCTGGTGTTTTTGATGAAGGCATTGACTGAATATTTTTTTAAGCATGAGAGAATTGGTTTTAACTTAAAAGTTTGAAAATATTTACCACCAGCTTTATAGAGAGAGCTTTTGTTACAATTTTTTGCTTTGTTTTGTTTCTTTTCTTTAAAAAGGTGATTGTTTGAAACATCATTTGAATAAGTAGCATGTATAGTCAAGTTTCAACTTAACCTGAGCATTTGAAACTATGGTAGACTTGATACACCAGATAACCTGATTGTTGACTATGGATCATATTGTGTCTTCTGTGCTGTTGTACATCTGTACTTGGTGAAGTGTTCATTGTTTTTAAATACGGGCATTTTCATAAATATTCATAAATTTTGAAATACAGGATGCTTTTGCTGCATACTCCTGTAAATCTTAAGTTTAGAGCAACCAATGCATTTGAATGAAGGCAACATGCATTTGAATGAAGGTAAATAAAGGCAACATCAGCTTTTAGCATTTTGTAACCTTTTGTAAGCACTTGAGTAACCCTAGCAGTTTACATGTAGCTGCCATATAGGAGTTTCCAAAATGAAATAGATGACTTTGTTTATGGTATGGAGATTGAAGCTAACTCTTTTTTTTTTAAGAATTTTTTTTGGTTGTCATTTGTATCTTTGCAACCTGCAAATGGAATTATGGGAATGTGTATTAAATAAAGGTGTGTCTTAAAGACATCCACAAAATGTACTGTCCCGGAGTTCATTATCTCTTTGGAATGATGTCGTATTTGTGAATATCCATATCTTCAAGCTCAGTTTCTCGGATGACATTAAGATACACAAATCTCTCACAAAGTCCAAGTGATTGACACACTTGCACAGCAGCAATATCTTCCTACTTTGGGTGTTGGAATCTTTGTAATCCAAGCCTGCATGGATATTATAGTTAGAGCTACTGCTTTTTTGATTCTTCACAATGTTCTTTGTTTCTAGTTTACTTCTTCTTTTTTTTTTTTTTTTCCTTCCTCTCCATCTCACAAACCAGTTACCTCACATATTTTCCAAAGTTAAAGAAGCTATGTCCCCTGTCTCCAGCTTGGAGGGAAGAGGAATTTTAATACTCAGAAGGGACAGTACTGAATAGAACTTTTTACTACTATTAGTGTGTTTTTATTCAATATTTATTACTGAAACTACAGTAATTTTAAAGAATAACTACATATTTAAGCATTGCAAGGATTATTTGAACTTTGGGATGTCTACCTTTTGGTTGTTTGTTTATATTAAATATGATCGTAGGTTATTGAGTGTAACTGTAGAGGGTTTCTTATAGTCTGAAAACTTGGCTCTCAGAGAATCATTGTGGCACCTTCTGTGATCCTCTGTTCTGTGGTCCAGTGAGTTTTGGATTCCATAAGAATGAAGGGATAAGAAAAATACAAAAGTAGAGCCTGGCTGAGGGAACAACAATCCTTAGTATCACATTACTCAGTTGTGAATTAGGGTAGAGTAGATGCTCTTACTAGACAAACCTCCACGTAGAAGATAAAGTTTTATTTTGAAGTCTGTTTGTTTTTATTTAGTGTTAGAAAAGCTCTGTTAATAAGGTTAACTGACCTTAGTTACACTTTTTCCATCATTTCATAGCAAGACTTTAATGATCATACTTCTGAAAGTCTTGCAGAACATATTCTACAAACTATGTGACCTGTTTGTAAACCATTCTATGTTTTGCCAACAGGGAGCTAACCTAACTTTCCAAAGTGTTGATCATAATCTTCCAGAAAGCGTTAAGCAGAACCCAGTCCTCACCCTTCGTGTGATAAATATTGATGAAACAGCTATGGATTTTCTCAAGTAAGTGCAGCTAACTTTTTCAAATTAGTCTTCCTTAAGCAAAAAATACTTTTTTATAAGAGCTTCTAACATGTTATTTATACTGTTAAAAAAATCTGTATTTAGGCTGTTGTTAGGAGAAATTAGTAATAGATTTGAGTGGATGTTCTATAATTCAATAACTTCCTAGAATGATAAGGAGTAACTTGAAAAAAAAAAAAAAGAATTATTTAAATATGAAGCTATCTTACTTGCTTTGTTTGAAGTCTTTTTAACACAAACCATATTCTGAAACTTTTCTGATGCGATGAACTAATGTACTATGTTCAGGGGAAAAATCATTTTTTTTGTGATCAACATTATTATTGAATCTTTTGTGAAGCTTATATTAACTGCTTATATCAGTTATGCCAATACAAGTGTTTGAACACAGGCAGGAGAGGGATTGATGTTTTTTTGTTTTGTTTTGTTTTGTTTTCCCCATCTTCTTTACTTCTTTTTTGTATGCACTCTTTCTTCAGTCTTTGAGATACTGCTACACATTATAGACTGCAGGCATTTGGGCATCTAATTTCTCAACACGTTTATTTTCTCATCCACTTGCTGTATTCTCTCCAGCCAGGTATTGATACACATCAGTAAGATCACCCTGAGCATTCTCCAGGCTAAATATTCTCAGTTCTCACAGCCTCTCCTTGTAAATCTACAATCTACAAAAGATTGGTACTACAATCTCTTCTTGACTACGACCAACAGTAACAGAGCCTTAAATATATTTAGTATCTAAAAACTACTTTCGTCAGAACATCTTAACTAACCATTATTTTTCTTTTTGCAAATATTGAGATACATGAAGCTTGTTCTCAGTTACGGTAATATTCACTTTAAGGTCCCTTTACACTGAAAGCTCTTCAAAGAGGCCCTAGTGAGCTATCAGTCCATAAAACTGTAAATTCAAATTTAATTGGTTGTAGAAACATATAGCTGTATGATGCTAACTATTCCCGCTGCAGGGTCTTCATGAAATAAAATAGTTTAATATTGGTTGGCTTATGTGAGATATTTTACATCTTAGAAGCATATCATTTTGGTAATTTTTTTTTTTTCATTTGTTGATAATTTTCTACCTATGGAATTTGGAGGCGATCCAGTGTTATTTCTGAAAGGCTGAGAATGAAGACCTGTTCATTGGGTTTTAAAATCATATTTTTCTGCTACTTTTTTTCTGGTACTTCTTTTCTGCTACTTCTTTTTTATACACTCTCAACCTGAGATGTGCCTTTTTTTTCAGGTAGTAAATTGATTCTGTCTGATTCTTCTGAACGCTGTGTCTGGGTGGGGGTGTTATTGAACTGTAACTCGGTCTTCTCTGGTGGGAAACTCATGATCTGAGTCCTTTTATCCAGATTAATGTACTCGCAGAGAATCCCACTCAGGTGGGTAGAGTCAAAAAGGTCTGTTGCAGATTTTCAGGAGCAGCTACACCCTTCTGTCACAAGCTATGAATCTTTTGTGTTTTATGTTTGTTTTAGTGAGATTACATGTATGTTGTCTTCTGTAGATGGTTGCCTTTACAGTTTAGGTAGTTTGATATGGACAAGTTCATAGGGACTTCATAATGGGAGGTACCCAAACTGGAGATGAAAATTCTTAATAGCAGAGAGGTAAGTCTTCGGCCTCCAAAATAAGGAGTAGTCCTTCATGGCAAGGCACTGGTGAACAAGCAGCTTGAAGTTGGCAGTAGTTTTTACATCTGTTTTCATACTGTAATTAAAAGATTAAAATAACTACAGCACGTTTTTAATTAATTTATTTTTTTTAATCTTCCAGTAGGTTCTTCCACAGTATTTTTTCTATCAAGCTTCATACTAACTTCTGATTGGGATTACTGGGAAGCCCTTCTGAGAACACACAGTACAGAATTTCACCATAAGTTTTAGTGAAGGAACCTGAGATGCACTGATCCAGCTTTTGGGCTAAACCTTTGCCATAGTTTGTTCTCTTAGTAGTTAACTTCTTTAACTACTGTGAGGTTTACATTGTTTTCATTTGGCAGACATATAGTTAGCATGTAGGAATGAGAATAGAAACAAATGACCTCAGAAACTCAGTCTTTATTAAGTCAGATTCCATGTCAAATACCTGTAACTAATCATGTTTTCTTCAGAAGAAGATGCAAAACAGCACATTGAAGATAAGGTGCTTTCAATAAGGTGTTTATTAATGGTTAGCTTGTATTTGAAATGAGAAGGCTTATGCATTTGCCAACAGAAAACTTACGTGCTTTACCTTGCTTTATGTGCTTTAACCTTAGTAGTTAAGACTCCTATTTTGTCCCAGTACAAGGTGGCTCCTCCCTTCATAATTTATCACTCATATCTGAACTAGAAGCATTTCTTTCTTCTGGATGTGTATAACCTACAGTTAGCAGTGTAAGCACAGAAAAAAAATATAAAAGTAATTCGGAATGGTGTTAACATTTCCGTCATTAATATCTGTCATTACATATTTTTAATTATCTGGACATATTTCAAGAAAATGATTCCTTGATTTGAGGGAGATTTTATTTTCCCTGAGGGTGTATGTTTATCTATTCAACATTCAAATAAAAATGCATCAATATCCATAAACATGTTTTCCTGGAGGTTTGAACTTTGCTGGTGTTCTTTTAAGAAGGCTGTTCAGAATACTGGGACAAATTCTTTTTTTGTGTGATTCCCATTTATTGTGTCCTGTTCATTAGCTTTTTTTTTTTTTTCCAAGCATTTTTGTGGAGCGTTTTTAGAAATCCATGACTTATTTATTAGAGCCCTCTTAAATGGATTTCATTATGTTGTGCTGCAAGAACTAAGCAAAGAAAGCAGGTTTTTAAACAATAATTAGCATACATGCATATTTGTCTTCCTTAAAATCTTTGATGGAAAACTTTTCAGGTTCTTCAAAGTTTCTATCAATACTATGTCCATTTCTTCTATGAAAAATGTCCATCCATTAGCTTGCAAATTTCTCATTATCTCCTTGATTAGTAAATTATGGCCATTGCTCTTTGGAGCTGCTTGTAGGTTGCATGGAGAATGCACGGTCACTGCAGTTACAAGATCTGGAATTCTCTCTTACTGCTCTCAGGTGCCCTTGATGGACCATGTCCATAGCAATTCTTCCTCGGTTCAGGACATACACTGTCATATACTGTCAGTTGAATGAATACAGTCATATGGAACCCATTCTTACTGTAAGGAACTCGGTCATAGCGTGTGAAATACCTGAATACTGTCAGATGGAAATCTTTCAAATAATTCCATTTCTCTGCAGAAGTATTTCTTTGTTGCTGTGTTGGTCCCCAGTGCCTCCCTAAGACGATACTGTTCTTGATCTGCATCGTGGAAGATAATCTCTTCTTCCCTTAATAACAATGTTAGTCTTTTTGCCCATGTGTTCCATTAATCACAAGTGAGGCAAGACATAAAACAGGTGGAAATTTGCTGACTATTTTTCCTATTTTTCTTTCATCATTTAGTTGTTGGTCTTACAATTTAGACATTTTGCTAGGAAAATAAAGATTCAAGATATTACTTGTATAGTCTTTTTTCTTTTTTTTTTTTTTTTTTCTCTTAAAGAGAGATTTATAGCTACTTCATGTTATTTTCCTGGTAACTAAGTGTTGCTGCTTTAACAAACTTTCCCACTGGTCTGAGCTGAAGATTAGGACTGTCCAGATATGCTTCTGGAGACTGTACAAACAGGAGGAATTATGCATGAGTTATAAATCGGTAGAGGAGCTGCTAATGGAATAGTGTCAGACAAGAGTTTCTCTATATCTGCAACTATTCAACAAGGAATTTTTTGTATGCCACGTCAAACTCAAGCATTTGAATGCAATGCTTATCAGGGTAGTATAAGAATTAAATACAAAGTTCAAATTTATTTATTTTTTACTACAACTATTTTGAATTCAGTAATATTACATTTTCACTAATAATAATTTTCACTAATCAACTTTAAATTGTTGCTATTTTAGAGCTCCCTCTGAGGAATTCAAGCAAGAATGTTCTGAGCAAGATAACAGCAGAGTTTTCAAAAAGATTCAAGGTTTGTGTCTACCAGAACACACTTATTTTTAATTTCTGTATCTGTCTTCATAGCTCAGCACAAAGAAGAGTGGTGGCATTTCAAAGATTTTATTTGAATAAATGAAGCTAACCAAGAGTTAGATATTTATCAGAATATTACTAAAATCTGATACTGGGATAAACTGTTCATAAGAATACTTTCTACTCTTAACTTTCCTTCTTTAAATAAACAGTCTGGCTAAAGATCATGGAAACAGTACAAAAATTGTGAATGTAACAGATAAAATATCACTGTGATGACAAAATCTTAAAAAAGAATGCTAAATCATAACACTGATCCTATGTTAAATTAGCATCAAATTTAAAAAAAAATACTGGTGAAATATTCAAACAATCTTATTTATTCAGTTAATTCTGCTTTAGATAGTTCTTTGGCCATTTTTTATTCTATTTGTACCCATTAAAAAGTAGTTTTTTCATATTCTTCAATGTTATCTGTACTAAATATGTGAGTATGATTTAATAGTATATTCTAGAATATGTAATTGTATTTTGCCAGTTTCCTACCTGTAGTCTTTTGGACGAGAGCATAGCTTTGTGTTTAAAACTGTAGAAGGATGTTTATGTACTTGCTGTGTAACTTGTAGTCCACAAAAACTGTTGAAGTGAACAGTTTTTAGTTTGTAGAATCTCCAGCATAACTTTTAATAGCTGAACCCACTTTAAGTAGGCACTTTCTGGTCACTATAATGCAGTTGAGCACTTACTTTTAGAAAGATTGTTGGAATTACACATTAGGGATATATTTTTTTTATCTTCTAGTTCTCCACCTCCTTTTTTTTTTTTTTTTTTTTTTTTTTTTGGTCCTGCTGTAATGCACACAAGCTGATTTCTCAATTATCTGACCATATCTAAGGCTTGCTGGTGTGCCCTGGAAGAATGCGTAGTGTATATACTTCAAGATGTATTTCAATGTACTTCTGAGTTTGATCTTTACTGGAAAAAAATCATCCCTCATCTCCCCTCCCAGCCCTAAAGAGAAACTGCTGCACAGAGATTTTGGTAAAGCCATAATTTTTACCATAGAAACAGTTCTTTGCCTAACATTTTGGAATGATTTTACAGAATTACTGATATTTGTTCTTGTTTCCACGTGTATTTAACACATTTGTACTGAAAAAAAGTAACTGTGTGTCCCATAATGGGATGTTTGTATTACCAAAGTAGTGTTACTGAATTGCTTTGGGCATTGAATAATAGTGTGTATGTATTTGATTCCAGTGGAAGTTAGCAGTTTCATAATCTGAACACAACAGACATTCTTTCCTTCTGTGATCTTTTTAATATTTTATTAAATGTTGCTGCTGCTTTATGTGATTTCTATTCACATGTTAAGTAAACAATAATTTTCTTTTGAACTCACATCTGGTCATCTGGTATGAGAGTCTGGATGTGATTATGTGTCTTTTAACCAGCAGTGTCAAAAACAGTTGTGGTCTTGTTTACTTTTGTAACAGTCCTATAGCATACAGTTAACTTCAGTTAATTGTTATGCCCTTTCCTTCTGTAAATCCTCAGGTATGCTCAGAGAAACACTAAGTAAAAGAGGAGTTCGTGTTGTAACAGGCCTAGGAAAATATTTCCGACGTATAGACAAGAACAGAAATGGTTTTCTCTCTCAGGCAGACTTTAAAGAAGCTCTGAAAGTATTCCATCTGGAAGTGCCTGAAGGGGTAAGTTGAAATTATAAGGCTGAAATTATAAGGTTATACTCATATACTAATACTTAGATAAGTGAATACTTATCTCACTTTAATTTATGGTATCACCCCTTTGCTTAAAGCTACATCTTAATACCTATTTTTGCATTTTTTTTCCTTGTGTTGTTATATTGGCATTTCTGCATTCAGGCCTATTTAAATACTTGAATGAAGAAACAAATAAGAGTGCAATCTTCTTGTCTTATGAAGAGGGGCAAGTGCAATTGCAATCCAGTTTTCTTTTTCAGCCTTTTGAAGATATTCTATAGGATACTATTTACTAATTGCTCTTCTTTTTAAATATTATGTTACAAGGAAAGCACACAGCTATCAAAATGGTTAATAATGTGAATTATGGTCATAAGAGACCAATGATGACTTAGGTTATTTTGAGAAGTGTTTGAATCAGCTTGGATGGGGACATTGTTCTTTGTGAAAGTATTGTAATTTCCTGATGTAGCAATTGTTTTTTATTTCTATGACATAGTGAAAAACTTTGGCAAAATATTTTCAATTACAGGACTTTGAATCCTTGTGGCTTATTCTTGATGACAGCAAGAGTGATAAAGTTGACTATGGAGAATTTGTTCGTGCCATAGTTGGAGAAATGAATGAATATCGGAAAGCATTTGTAAGAAAAGTAAGTTTCACTGCAGATAGTGTAGATATTTTGCAGTCTAACTTTTGTTGGTTGGAGTTGGTTATTTATTACATTTTGATTTTTTTTTCTTAAATTTTGCATCTGGTAATTGACTTTTTAAACTGTCAGATTAGTGTGTTAAAATAAGTGTAAGTTAGAAGACAGCATGCTGTTCCATTGTTGAGTTAGTTAATTTTGAACAGCAACCTAGAAACAAGTCCTTTATTATTTTAGGTTTGAGTATGCATGCTATTCTTACAGTTCACTCCAGTGTGTAAGGCATCTGGCACTGCAAAGCTCTGTCTTCCAGAAATCTCTTCCTGTATTTTGGCAGATCACTATATTTGTTATCCATATGCACTGTGTGCATTTTTTTTTTCCTCAGTGTCTAAAATAGAGGCAATAATACTTGTCTTCTTTGAGACATACAATTAGAGGCATTACATTTGCAAGAGTTTTTTACATTTGAAATGTCACTTTGTTATTTGTCTATATAGAAACTGGAAAGACAAAGGGATTGGCAATGTATTGTGACTGTAACCAGTATTTCATGCTGGAAACAAACCAGCCAGTATCATAGTGATGGGATATCATAAAGATCAAGAAATGGGACATGCTTTTGTTCTCTTAATCATGGAGGACCTGACTGTCCCAGCCTTATGTAGTGGTATGTGTATTAGAGTAAGCTGTTGAAATTAAAGTGAAGCTGCTCTTAGTAGTGCTGTAGAGGCACATTGGAATGATGCCGGAATCTTAGTAATTGGAGGAGACAGAAAGGAAGCAGCTTAACTGCTGATTCTAAGGATGAGCTAGAAATTTTGGAGAGAAGACAATTTTTTATTTTTACTTTTTTTGAGTTTGTGAGTGGACCACATTTGAAGTAAAAGTTCTCAAGATAAAACAATTGTGAAATTCCATAATGTTGAATCCTTTACTAGTATCTGGCGACTATGATAGTAGATTCAAATTACTTAAATAGGTAAATCAGAATAATCCATCGAACAAGATCTGAAAATATGTGTTAGGTAGCTAAGTGTGTTTGGACTTTATTTTTTTCTGCCTTTTTTTCCTCTTTGTTTAGGCTTACATGAAACTAGACTTCAACAAAACTGGAAGTGTTCCTATGGTAGACATCAGAAAATGTTACTGTGCAAAGAAACATCCACTAGTATTGGCAGGTAATTACCATTAACAAAAACAACAACCAAAAATAAAAATCCACAATTAAAGTAATGAACTTGTTGGTAGAGATATGAGATCCAGAAACTGATACTAATATAAACTGTTTTCATTTCAGCTGTTAACATGAACATTTTTTTCCCTCTGATTACCTATGATGTACCTTACCTGGAACTTGGCTATAAATAGTAATGGAATTCATTACTATTCACAATATTAATGCTTGCTTTCTATCATGCTGCAAATACTTCATATATATAGGTTAGTTTCCTTTCCTTACCTGTGTAGGACTACATTTAAGTAGTTATATATCGGCTCTTATGTGCAAGAAATCACTAACCCCTATGATATCAGTAGTTTTAAATTAAGAGAATACTCTCCTTTTCATATTACTGTTTTTCCTCAAATTCTATAAGGCTTCCAAGTGACACTAGATGTACTCATCACTTGGGGATCCTTCTGAATAAATTATTAATTTATTTCTGGGACATGGATTGTCATTCTTTACAGAGAAAATGTTGGTATCTTCGTTATTTTTCAGGCTTCAAAGAAATGTTTGAATGCCACCATTGGAAAGATAAGAGTTTAAATCTTTGTTTCTAAAATAATATCTCCAGATACCAAACTAGTCAATGTGAGTCTCCTTAGTGTGCCGAACCTTATGTTTTACCAGTTGAAGAAAAGATGTGTCCTGTTTTGCCAGTGACCTTAATAGTAATATATGTGAGGATACTTTGTGGATTAAGGATGTTGGACATTCCATTTTTTTTTTCATTGCTATAATGCTATATTTTCTCAATTTTTTTCCTCAATGCAATAAAAGTAATCTAAAGTATAATCTTTATTAAGTTGCTAGAACACACGTCAATTCCAGAACATTTTTGAATGTAAACTTGCATCTTAATTGTTCCTAGAGCTTTGAACTCATATTACATTAAACACATGATTTATCACAAGTTTACTTCTGATTTACCAGAATTTTAATTAAGGAATGTGCCATTCAGTTTTAGCAGTCATTTGAAGAAAAATCTTCCTGATCTTATAATCTATTAAAATTGACTTTGGCCTCATGTTTCCAATGATATTTAATGCTATCATTTGCTATTAAAGGAAGGTAATTTCTGCAGCTGATGTTAAGTGAACAAATGACTTCATTGCCTCCTGTGAAATATTGAATTTGTTCAAGAAAAATATTTGCAAGCCAAAATCTTAGATTTTCTTTCCTAAAATATATTAACTGTCATATATTCACTGGTCTTGAAAATGTAATTAATGGAAAAAAAATGCACTCACAGGCAAAGCTACAGAAGAAGAAATTACAGCATCATTTCTAGAAACATTAGGAGAGTCCTGCAGCAATCCCAATGAAGTGTCCTATTCTGAGTTCGAAGATTACTATGAAGGATTAAGTATTGGAATCATGGATGATGATGATTTTGTTAACATCTTAAGGAACCCTTGGGGAATTTAGAGTGGAAGAAGACAAATGAAAAAGAAAGACCTTCTGAACAAGAAGTGAACTAAAGCAAGGAAGAGTTTAGTTGTGACATGCATTACTTCACAATTAGTGTCTTAAATCAATTTAAAGGACTGAAAATTGTAGATGCTTTCAGAATAATAAAAGTTAAGTTTCTTACAGTCTGTTGAGCAGTACTAAGCACTTTCTCCATATAAATGGTGTCCATGCATTTTCATTGTCTGTTCACCATACCAGAAGGCAGCATTAACTTGATACTAGAATGAAGTGTCTTTTTTGAATTCCCTCTTATTTTAAAATACTAAAATGTGTGAGAGTATGTGCAAGAGAAATTTTAGTTTTATGATTTTGTAAAGCTTTAGATATGATGGTGTAAATATCTTCATTGATGGTGTAAATTTCTTCATTTTTCTTTTTATAAAAATGCCATATTTTTTCTTATAATGTTCTTTGCTTTGTTTCTCATGTTTTATGCTGGTGGTCAGCCTGAGAGAGAGCAGGCCATCCTCATCATATTTGGAGGAAGACCACAGTACTGAAAATGCAGAGAAAGTCACACCAATTAACCTTTAAACTAGTATCCAGACCATCTCTGCCAGCTTTAACAAGCACAAATGTATTTTTCAGTGTCCTTCTTTTTCTCTATTTTGCTAAATTGTTTTCAAAACAAATTTATATTTAAATATCTGGCTTCTCTACTTTCTATTGCTGTGATTTTTTTTTAAACTAATCAATGATACTGTCTGTCACAATGATAGACATAATTTTACGTCTTTTCTGAAAGTAGGAAACAGAAAAGTATATATTACAAAAACATATTTTTCACCAAAAATTAAACTTCAAATTTAAATATTCCTTGCTACTTCAAATATTCAGCCAGGTATGCTTTTCAATGTAATACATCCCGTTAGTTCTATAAGGTTAATTGTGTTAAGAAATAAAAAATCTATTATTAATTAGTTTTATATATACATATATATGTAGAAAGCCTTTGGTTTCAATATACCTTTCAAAATTAACTGTATGTTGAACAGGATTTTTTTAAGCCTATGCAATTAAAGTATATTAGTTTTCTCCATGCATGTCTGACTAGTTTTGAATTTAGTCCATGATTGTTAAAACCTTCCTCTGAGACAGAATATGTGCTTCATAGGAATTTAAGTGCAGTGCTGAAAATGAATGCTAAAATGAGGGCCTTTGGTCCCTCTGTGACTGACTGGTTTATTCTAGATATAGCACTTTCTTGTTCTAATTGCTTGTACATTGTTATCTTTTGTTTGTACCATGTCTGCATGTGTATCTAGAATTGCAATTTCTCCTCTAAACCCTCAAATGAGGATTTTTTTTTTTTCAGTTCAGTTTGGGGCTGCAGAAGTCTGTCTGTGTTGGTTTACAGGGAAAGACAGATTCTGTCAATGCTTATTCTAAAGGAAGAATTCTGATGTGACTCATTAAATTTTATTATTTTTTATTTTTTTAATTCCCAATTGCTACTGGAATTTCTCTTTCTGGTAAGATTTTGTCAATTAGTGTTTGTGGAATTGGTGATTCTGAGAAAGGTGTCCTCAGATTTTACAGTGATCTCTTTGTTAATGTGTCTGTTCAAATAACTGAAAAATATCAAGTGGCATTTTTGTCAGTCTTTTAAAGAATCACCTACTCTGTTATTAGACTTGTTCACTTATCAATGTATCAAATTGAGTTACGACTTCATAAGTGTGACAGTGATTGGGAAATGACGTATTAATGTAATTTTTTTTTTTTTTGCGAGAAAACCTCCCTGGTGATGCTTTTAGGAAGGTTATTCCACATTATCCTATGGAGCAGAAAAACTGATCACAACTGGATGCTTCCTTAGTAAGTCTTCTTATCAGCACAAGCTGCAAAGGATTATACCTGCTGCAAATTAAGTGGTTATAATTGTTCTTATCACTAAGGTTAGGTGAAGGATAGACATGAATGATATTTCCATAACTTTGGTAATAATGCAGTTTTTTCTTCATCTGAAGATAGATCCTTAATAGGGTAATCTACAATAAATTCTAAAGGTCAGAAATTACCTAAAAAATACAAGCCCATACTTTGGTAATTCTCTAAAACCTGGTAGGTATTAAATTTCTATTAAATACAAGGTCAGTTATACATCAGTGGCTGCCTCAAAACATCAGCTATGATGTCTCTGGTGAATTTATAATGGAGTTCATGAAAGTTCCTTTAAAAAAGTCACTTTCTATCTGCCTGCTGGTATTTGTTCTCTAAACTTAAAATGGTGACAAAGAACTGACACAAACTTCCACCAAGGCTGGCATGCCATGCTTGCAGTTAGCAGAAAAAACTAGGAGAACAGAAATTGTATTCAGACCAGGGTCTGTGGTGTGGGATTCTTTTTATTATCAGTAGTGAAAACCAGCATCTGACAATGCTGGAGATCATAGCCTGGACAGTTCCTCTTTGGAAATCAAACACCATAGCAGACAATCTTGGTAAGGAAGTAATCAATGCAAGTCTGTAAACCCCAATGGGTTGTTTCTCTGAGTACCTAGTACATGTAAAATTTTTTGTTTGAATATACTGGAAATCTGCTTGTATGGTTGTACTCTGAGATGACCATAACCAACTGTTGTGATCTATATTTCTGTGTTCCTGTATTCAGAAAAGCTGTCAAAAGACTCTTTTTCAGTAACAGTGGTCTCAATGCTCAGTTTAATTGCATTCTGATTTGCTTTTGTTTACTTGTAAATCATTTGATGAACCCCAAAGCCTTTTCTTTGATCAACATTTTGGAGCTTTAAAACTTGCTGGAGGTATCTGCTGGGGTTTGCTGCCTTTAAATGTGTTCAAACAAAATGTTTTCTGTATTTAGTACCTTTCTCATAATTGCTTATGTTTTCTGAATTAGAGGGTGGGTGTTCTTAGATGGGGTTTTCTCAGACACAGAAGCTGTCTGCTTTCTTTCCTGAAAGTTAGTGCTTAATACAACTAGTGGTCTTCGTGACAGCCCTAATTTAAACTTATGCTAAAAAATCTGAGCAATCAGCTGTAATTGAGGACAGCAGAAGTGCATTACACTGCCAATATTTTGCCCTGATAAATGTATGTACTCCCAGAAGACAAGTGGAAATGAATGAAGTGCTGCAACTCCTCATTTTTGAGGGCTATGACCACTTCATCAAATGAATGTGCACTGGCAATGCTAGCTGGAATGTTTAAGAACATTTTTAAGAAGCAAAACACAAGTACGGGTACAAATATTCAGAGGCTGCACTTTGTCACTTAATGGAAATATGGTATCTGACATCCTCACCTGGGATGGTCTTGGTGGCAAGATTGTCTTAGTGGTATTGCTACTGATTCAGATGCACAAATTCATTTTTCTTCCATAAAAGCCACTGCCACCTGCTCAAATTTTGTGGGTCTTAGGAGACAGGAAAAAATAAATATTAAAATGTGTGTGTAGAGAGGTGCTGCTTAGTTTTTGTTTTTAAGCATGCTGCATCTAGTGTAAAAGAGACAGCCTAGAGCTGATTTCTTGTGGGTTGGTCTAGTTAAGTCCATAGAAAAACAAGCCAAGCATCCTTCTGTGGCAGAAAAAAAAAGGATAGTAGAAAATACTTTTTTCTGCATATTGCTCTAGCACCTGATAATCTATCCTTCCTCTCCTTTGTAGTAATGAATTTAGAGACTGAGACAGTTCTGTGCTTGCTTCTCATGTTGTTAATGTTCTCGTCTTTGAGAAGCTGAGTCAGGTTTGATTTCTTTCTACAGACACCTTTTCAAAATATTACCTGGACTGGAAAGTACTTAGGACGGAAACGTGGCAAGAAGGTGCCAGTTGATGACCCTAGGAGTTGTTTTGTTGTGTGGCTCTCACACTTCTCTTACATACCTTTGTGACTCTGGAGAAGATGGATGTTAGAGGAAAAATACCCTTCAAGAAAAAAAAAAAAAAGCCATCTCTTTATTACAGATTCCTTATTGACATGTTATCTGTTGCATTTACTCAGAACTTACAGTATCCAGTACATATTTTGTGGCCTTATTTCTCCTCATTCATGTTATCGTTGCATGGGGTTAGTTGGATTCACGTGAAAGAGGTTTAGTATTTTTGGATCTTTTGCTGGCTGTGTCTTTTGACCTCTTTCTGTCATTCCTCTCCACCCCTGGTTCTGGAAGAAGAAGGGAATCTGAGAGACTTTGGAAAAGGGTTAGGCAAAAGACCATAAAATGTTAGCACTTTTAGGGGCAACGGAGTAGGTGTAACAACAGGGAATAGCAAAGAGCTCCTTGCAGGGATGTGTTAGGGCTTCTTCCCTTCAGTAGTAAGCTGGGAGTGAAGCTCAGCAGGAACGGATTAATTTAGGTTCCAAATGTCTCTGTTCCAAGGGTACCTTTTGCTGTTCTGGTGTCCTTTTTTTTTTTTTTTTTAATCATTCCGATTTTGATAATTCTGTCTATGCTGTTATTATGAGGTTTGACTCAGGCCCTCACAGGATTTTCTTTGGAAGCAGAATGCTGTGGGTGATACCCGCTTTACCCTGAGTTACACTTCATGTGGGGAAATCCCAGGCCATTATCGGAATGTGCAAGTTAAAATCAGGGGAAGCTAAAATAGCAGGTTTGGTGATCTATCTTAAGCAATACTCCCTTTTCTTACAACCTGTGTTAAGTGAGTGAACGTTTAATGACTCCTATGACTAATTCTGAGATCCTATGATTTGTCTTGGCATGAATTAGATCCTGTACTCACGCTGGTAAAATTACTCCCCCGAAGTCATTTCCTTTGACAATAGTATTTGCTTTGCAGATGTTAGTGATTAACCGCGCGTTTCATTTGTGAGTATTGCTGTTGTTTTCAATGTTCTTGAATTCTTCTCCTTTTTCAGTATTTCAAGACCAAAGGGAACAGTAGCAGAGGTCAAACCAATGCTACAATTTCACTTAATTATTTATTTTTAAATCAGCATTTTGGAAGTGTCTGATACAACAGCACAGTTCAAACCAAGTTATAATATTCTGCTTTTTGTGGGTGTAATGTACTTTTGAGAAATAAGGCTTCTAGATATTACTGTTGTTTTAAGTAACCATAGGGAAATAGACCATTTTAATTGCTAATTCCTAATATCCTGATACAAAATGTTGAGAAGCATCAGACAAAAATCAGCATGGTACGTGTCAATTCGGTAACCTAAATTAACAAAAATGTAAAGGGAGGCTGGTGACATGCCTCTGCACTCCTGGAAGCGTGCTCTGTCAGTTCTGCACTGTGAAGCTGGATGTGGTTTTGATGAATCAGGGCACAATGATGCTCTTCCTTTAAGAAAGCCTATGACTGCAGACCTTTTCATGCATCTGAGTTCTTAAACACATTTTGCAGAAAGAAGGGGCTGGATGGCTGTAGGATGGGAGATGACACAGGAAACATCCTAAGCAATTCTCAAAATTAACATTAAAATTAATTAATGTTAAAAGTCAAAGTCAAAGAGTTATTAAAAAATGTAAATGAGCCTGATTACTGGTGGCATTTTTTTTCCCCAGATGAGCATAATATTCACTTTTTCTGATTCTCCTAGCTTTTAAACCAGAGCTGCCCTTTCCGGAGCAGGGTAGCAATCTTTCAGTCACAGCATTGGAGGAGCTTAAAAGTACGCTCAGGATGGCAGCTCTGCTTTTAGAGCATCTCTCTGTGTTTGGGCTTCCACCATACTTCTCCTTTTGATGAGGAAGCTTGTTGAGGTGGGTCATGTGTCAGTTACTATTTCATTAATACATTTTCTATCTTTGAAGCCCCTAAAAACAAACTGAGCCACAAACTGAGCTGGGCACTGTGCAAACAATTACTTCAGGATACAATCCTTGCCTCAGAAAGTGTAACATTTGTATTGGAAAAGGGGAGAAGGGAAAGGAGAGGAAGAAAGATTGGAGACAGGGAATATTAAGTTAATGATTGAAGCAGCTGAAGTGTAATGTAAGCACAAACATCTTATCTTGCCTCTTGCTTAACAAATATCAATGATACTTTGTAGAATGAAAAGAATTTAAAAGTCAGAGCAAATCTTCTCTGCGTAGGTTAGCCAGAACACAAAACTAAATCTCTAGACAGCTAGGGTTTAAAATACAATGTTGATGATGATTTTCTTTGTTTAGGCAACTCCCAAAGAGATGATCTTTAGAATTTATTAATTTATTTATTTTGGTAGGATACTTTTAATCTTCTTCCATGTGACATTTCTGACTTTTTAAAGGGGAATTATTACATGATACGGGAGCACTTCTTCCATTTTTGATAGTAAACATTTACTAATAAGTATAGCAGGGAAGACGTTGATTGTGTGTGTGTTTGTTTTTGTCAGCCTCCATCTTGAGGGAAAAAGGAGCAGACGAGAACATGAGCGGAACAAAGTGGCAGTAAGGGACTTCCTCATGCATGCCTTGCCATTAGCTGCCTTGCATACCTAAACAGCTTTGCTCAGTACAGCAATGGCAAGCTGACTTCTGTCTCTTTGCCAGTGTTGCTGGCTGTCAAACTGCAGGCTAAGTAGAATGGTGCTGGTTGTAAACCTGACACCTTAGGTCTCGCACGGAGACTGCCAGGGAGCCGATGCTGCTGCAGGCCTTGTGTCCTTGAGGGGAAATTAAGAGGGGTATAACACTCAGCTCAGTTTTGCTTGCATGTGTTAAAGGTTGGGGACAGGGAGGGGGGGGGGTTAAGAAGGCACTGCAGCAAAGGTATTCCTACCTTTGAAGGTGCTGCTACCTGTAGCTTGCAAGTCACATCAGTCCAGGGCCCAGCAACTGTCTCTGTTCTTGGTTTCTACTGCAAGAGGTACTAAGGGCCTCAGACAAGACTGCTGATGCCCCTGCTGTTCCATTTCCTCTGGTTTGGAGATGTCTCATCAGTGCTCAAATCACCCCATGTGTGCACAGGACAGGTTCATGGCAAGGGGCTGGTGTCCTGTTGGCTTTATTGTGACAGTTTTGCCCTAATCAGGTGTGGAGAGCCACTTGGTGCCAGAATCTGCAGCAGCCCCTGGCCCCACACCTTCCTTCCGTGGCTCCAAGTCAACCCCTTCTTTTCCTGTAAGGAAGGCGTAGAGCAAAGAGAGCTCTGCAGGTCAAAACAGATTGGGAAAAGCTGTCAAGAATATCAAATGCTGCGGTAACACTTGCGAGATCAGCACGGATGGGGCACATTCTTTGGCAACCAAGTATAACAGTCAATGTACCAATTTGCTCTGCACTTAAGTACGTAAGGCAACTTCTTTAAAGACAGGCAGAGACCAAGAAAACCTGCAGCTTCACAACTTCCTTTGATTTTCCTCATACGGGGATGGGATACTAACTGAGAGCTAGCTGTTTCTGCCGAGACTTCTCTGCCCAAGCACGACCCTGCATGGCTCTTCAGGGCTCACTGGCACCTTGCCTCTGAGGAGGAAGCGCTGCTGATGCTGCCCATGATGGATGTGGCATTTCCCATCCGGCTCTCCCCTGCCAGATAGGGTAATGGCCGAGCTTACAGGTTGCAGCAGAAATCTCTGCCGGCACCTCTAACTTTTGTAAGCATGGCTGAAGCACTAGCAGAGGAGATGCAGTGTTTATCTCTTGAGAATACTGTTCTGTTTCCATGGCAGTAGACGGCTCAGTCCAGATTTGGGCAATCTTGTCTGCAAAGTGGTATGGAAAAAA